AGTCATGGAGCGAGTTGTTATTGAATTCAGAACTCACGTAATGGCGACGCGTCTGTTCTACAATAAAATCCCTCTAAGAAGACTGTCCCCTAAGAAATTCACCCTCACCCGTCGCGAGGAGTCTGGAACATGACATCCGGTGGTACACGAGTTGGAATCCCATTCAAGGCGCACGCTCAAGCCAATCTTGATGCTTTTGTCTGTTTGTCTCGACGGTCACGGGAGGACGCTTCGCGGCCTTTACGTTCGACATGCCCTTCGTCATGAAAAGAAGAACTTCCGCCTATTAAGATAAAGAGCGAGTCCATGGATCGAAGAACGGCTGCCCGGTCGCCTGACAATTTGACAAACTCACCATGAGCCAAAGTTCACTCCTAATCAAGACAGTCAAGCAGGAAGGCGAGCTGGGCCCTCTCTAATCAGTGGACAAGGAGCATCGATAGAAAACGAGAGGAGGCCGCACCCTTTCACGATTTCAGACAAATCATTATTCATTGAAGCGCGAGGATTACATGAGCAGACGTCATTGAACTGCAAGCTCTTGACGTCAATTCGTAGATAACCCACGAATGCGATATGAATTCGGCCCCCGTATCCGCTTCATTCTCTAGTCGAGCCGTCCTGACCTTCATTTTCTCCCGGAAAAATTGTGTTGGCAATCGCTGCACTGGAGTAGTCCGAAAACTTCCGACCACTTCCGAAAGGAGAATTTCCTCAGCTCACCTCTGGAGAGGAGGGGAAGTAGGTAATAATAATAATGTCACACCCTACCTCCGTAGTAGAACGGGGATTCCAAATTCGTGAAGAGTTGGATTCCTGAGAGGCTTCGAGAATTGGAGCACCCGTGAGTTTTGAGCCTCCCACGTAGAGGACTCGCTAGAGACCCGCGCGCCGCCATTCAAGTTGTCCGTGCGCCTCATGTTCGTGGGGTACGAGTCTGTGTTGCCTCCGTCCCGGTCCTTGCATCGCTTTCGAGCACCATTCCGCCATATCTGCGTTTGTCACGAGGTCGATTCTTGATCGATCGCGGATTTCGACGCTCGGCTAGACTGCTTGGAGCCGTGCCCAGCGGGTGGCAAGCAGATCGTTTCCTCCTCTTTATCGTGCTGTAATCTTCCGGGGATCGTCGATGGTTTCAGATCCGAGTAGAACTAGGAGTTCAACTCCATAATTTTCTATTCTTTTTATCGACTGATCAAAACCACCTCGATCATTGATATCCACGACTAGCCGGCTCTTCGGCTGCAGTCGACGGATGGTCGTGTAAAGGTTCCGAGCTGGATACACCTGTAGCTGCTCCGAAAACCGGTCCTAATTATTATTCCGATGAGAACTCCTCGATCCATCCCCGAAAATTTCGGAGAGGCTACGACAACGGTAGCTGTAATGATTCGAAAATTGGTGAAATTTCTCTCCTTTAGGTAGATTCGAGGCAGAAACGCCTCCGATTTGTGGCGTTGTGCATTCATCTCTCATTCACGTGAGATAAGTAGGCGATTAAGTTCGAATCCGTAATTGTGCGCGACATCGCATCTGATTTATCGTTATTCGCTAACTTCCTGTGAGGCTGCCTACCTCTCTCGGGACCATATCGGTGGACCGACAGCCGCTCAGACTACCACAAGAGAACTTGAGAATATTGTACTATTCGGGTCATTCTCGACAGAGCGTTCTCAATTTCGATGCTTGCGAAAATATGAGGAATATGAGGTCTCCCGATTGAACCACTGTTACCACTATCTACACACTGCCCATACGCATCCACGTCTGATTATCGCAAAGCTGCGCCATCGGCGTCGTACTGATTAGTTCTTTCCAAAATGAACGGCCTGCCTCCAGTCGGATCCCTCATAGAAATCGTTCGTGGGGAACAGTCTGCTCGCGACGCTGAACGATAATCGAGCATTCGAAGCACGGCACGCTTCCAGGGTTCAATACTCTTTCCAGAACCCGTCCGTCGTCTATTACCATTGGGCAACGAGCCGAACGCACGCAGTGGGGTAGATGATCGGGAGACCGGTGGAGAAATCGATGGATGGATAAACAAATGAACGGGAGCAGGCGAGACAGATCCTCCGAGAAATATTCCACGAGACAGATGCAATGACACACCCGCAACCACGCCAGACCGCATGGTGCCTCCATGGAGAAATTCGGAATGAGAGATCGCGTGCTACATTCGGTGTGATCCAGGGCTCCTCAGAGGGCTGTTCGGAGTAATGTTCCATCCAGCGGCGAATACTTTTGAAGCTCCGGAGGTCTTGATCCATGTCCCTCTTCAACGCACAGTATCTTCAAAACGTTCCGATTTCATCCAGCCTCGCTCGGAATCGATTTCCCTGTTCGTTGCTCCGAAGAATACTCGCCGCGTGGAGTTCCGGCTAGGAATCCTGCGAAAAATTCAGGAGCCGTTCGTCAAGTCAACTACGCCTGTGTTGCAGATTTGTGTCCCGATTCCGCTGCGTTTCATTCGGCTGGAAAGGAAAAAAAAAGAAAAAAAGAGAGCTCGGAGATTAGCGAATACCTCCCAGTGGTAAGATGCTGCGCATATGGTTTTATGTATAGGCTGGACTGATGAACCTACGCAGTTGGGCATAACTTTCCCGCGTAATCTGTCACGTGTGTGAGCTTGTGAAGCAGTAATTCATAGGATCTCAAGACGGAAAACAAGTCCGACGCGTGGCCTGATCCTATTTTACGGCCGCAGAAACGAGATGTTTCTCATCATTTGACTAGTGAACTTCTCCGTGAACCCACTCTCATACCTCCACGATCAGGCCCTGATCTGGCGAACTATTTTCGGACGGAGCGATGGAGCAGAAAACAATCCCAAATCGATTTGGAAGCGAATATCGCCCGTGTGTTTTTCGCAGGGAAATAGGCAACGCTCTCATCGTTGAAAACGCGTTACCCCAAATAATCTATCGATTCAGCTCTTCCCTTGTATACCCGGCTCGTATCTCACCCTTTTCGAAGGTCAAGTTCAGCAGTGCTCCCCTGGTTTACTCCGTCGCCTCATGCTCTGCACGCGTCGTATCGGAAATCCATATGGGTAGAGAAGCAGGACTCCCTGTAGCTCATGAGCTGTCTTACGGAAGAGGGCACTCTTCTCCTTATGAAAGTGATCATTCGGCGAAAATAGTCAAACTGCTCTATAATCGCGGAGCTACGCTCATTGAATTCGAAACTCCTTCCTTTATCGGGCTCGGTTGAGATAAGCTGAGCCCGATATAGAAGGAACAGACAGATTAGCGCCCGACTCAATGAGGACAATGCTGTTGGAACGAGAAGCAGAAGAACGGAAAATGAAGCTCCGTGCTTGGAGCTCGTCCAGCTCGGCTGCATTGAAGATGGAAAATATTCTACACGGGGACTTGGTCGAAGCGACGCCATGCCCCAGGATCGACCAGAGAACCGAGCTTCGCTCTCGGATACTCTTCGTATGCCAGTACTGTGGAGACTCCGCTCTACCTCCCTCGCGGAAAGCTTGAAATCTTCGCTGGCGACAGCTTCCCAAGATGAAATTTGAGGCACTCGAGCCAAACGGAGCTTCATTCATGTCCCCCAAGATGAAATTCCGCCATAGCGGAGTTATTCCACCGTGTTGCCTCCGAATGACCACAGCAATCGGATCAATTTATCGCCTAATTTTTATTCCAAAATTCCCCACGGATGCTCATGGCACAGATATGCAGGGAGTCCATGAAGAATACGTGATGCTCAGTGGCGTATGATGAGCGTCTGCACAATTTTTCATCGACTCTAGCCAGGAAACCTGTAGAAATGATCGTTCTCGTCGCCGATGGGATCGTGCTGACAAGCAATAGAACACCACCTACTGGAAATGGAAGTCAAGCTTGACATTCCGTCGGAACGGAGCGCGATAGAAGCGTAAAAAAAAACTGACGGAGCCTCAGCTCCGGGATATTCTGATGAGGACGACCAAATCGAGAAGGTTTTTCGCAGGAAAAGCCAGTAGGAGGAATTGTTCTGCACGAGCCCCGAGGAGATCCCGATCTACTCGGTGGACGAAAGTTGCCATCGCTCCCGCTTAATCCACGACGCTGACCCGGGAATATTTCATCTCTAGGGAAACTCATTCGGAAGATCATTCGCTCCGAAGAATCCCGCCCAAGGTCAAATGAGATGAGCGCAGATCAGCGGAGGCACGAAGAAGAGCTGCCCGCTGATGACTCTGGTCGTCGCGCCATTCGGATCCGCGCACAGAGGTTCAAGCCCGTATCTTGGTCCAGCGATCCGGCGTTTGATCTTCTCTACGTGGTTGGCCCTTCTGGATCGAAGGCAGAAGTTGGCCATGAACCCGAGCCGTGTACCCAAATTTAATGGCAATCCATTCCGAACCTTTATCTGCCCCAGTCGAAGAACCTGTCTCATGGACTCCTTCACCAGCGACCGTCGTCGGCCAACGACAAACATTGTTCTTCTGGATTAGGATGGAGCTTATTAGGGGAAGTTCAAAAGACGTGTCCGTCGGAAGCTCCGGGTACCAGAATATGGATATCGGACGGGGCTCCACGCCGAGGCTTCCATTGATGGAGGCTACCTCAGACAAGACCGAAGTCTTCTGCTGATATCTCCGAATCGGGGATTTGAACTTTCGGTGGAGACGTACTGCGAGGAGGGCTGTAGCTTGGTACCGACCGTCAACGAGGTCCTCAGCTCTTGGTATCAGCATATCTCCAAGCCCGTCGTGGATAGGAGATGGGTGAAACGGTTTAGTGACGCACGAAACGAGTCCCCGAAGCTCTCTTTTTCGTCGATTACGGCTAGATAAGCTCACTCACACTTCTCAGAAGAGAGATTCGCGAGCCATGATCAAAAAATTTCCAACGGAAACAGGATGGAGCATGAATGCATCCGGCATGGAAAAAGGCGGGAGAAAGAGAGGATTCGATAAACAATCGACCAAACAAGAACTTCGCGGACGTCACCGGGGAATTATCGAGTGATAAGAAGAGAGTGAAGGGAGCGGTCTTTTTATTACCGATCGTTGCATCCGCCCATAGATTCCCACCTTCGGGGGGTCTGTACAAGTTATGAACAAATATCGAGCAGGAGCTCAAGTCGATAGCGTCCCCGATCTTTATGTATTCTCTTTCTTCCAAGATCTTTCTATCTCGAAGGGCTGGTGCTCTCCGACTCCGAAGCTCATTTGAGACATTTTTCGCGGAACGCGGTGTACGATAAATGCACGTCGAGTAGAGTGCTCGCCGAGGCCGGTGGTGGTAATCGAGACGTCTCGTATCGGACTGGTTTGTACCGGAGACATCTCCGCGTACCCAGACATCCCTGTGGAATGAAAAAACATCCTTGATTCCCAAGATGCTGAATTTCGGAGATTCGAGCGAGCCAACTACACTCTTCGGGTCGCGTGATCGCGACCGATCACCAGCATAGCCGACAGCAGCTTATCCTCGCGAATCTTGATAAAAGGCAATGTACAGTTTCCTTTCCTCGATAGCCCGGGTCAGGTCTTTCGCTACAAACCTGAATGAGATGATGAATCGTTGGAATTGAAAGCCCGAAAAACTCAGCTCCCTTATTGGGCGGTAACGAAGGCAGATGTCGCGCTGGTGGAAGGGTTTCGTTGATGGCTGCGATCAGACTTGCGACGCATTCATCGGGAGTCCGTCCTTTGAAAACAGTGAGCGTATCCTCGCCGCTCATTTCGAACTGCGGAGAGAAAGTGTATTAGAAATCCTCCGAGACGAACTCGCAGATCCGATCCTTTCTACATCTTCGGTTCGCATGGATTAGCAGGGAGAGAGGAATTCGTCGAAAAAAAAAATTGAAAGAATGTTCATCATGGATGCGATGATAACCTTCGGTTCTGTTCCGTTATCGTTGACCGTACAAGTGTAGAGTGTGGTCTGGGTCGGGTCAGATGACGCAGCGAATTCTCTCGACGAGCAGAAACCGACAGGATAAAGAAGATCTTCGGTGTGATAAGCTGGGCGCTTGTTGTCGATCTCCCCGAGGCAATGTACCTCGATTCCAGGCAGCTCGATGGGAAATATCGGTCTGCCTGTGTTGTCGAGAGGGATGGGCTGAACGTATCGTTTGTCTGAATGAGCTTTTTTGCGGCCTTTAGCCTGGGCGGCGGTCGACACCGATATTGACTCCTTGGGACGCTCCGGTAGGCCCGTCAGGGTTCGAGCCGCGCCCGAAGGGAACTGGATCTTGTGGCTGCCCGTTGTAGAGATTGTTATGCAGCTCGGCAGAGGTTTCCGGAGAGGAATGACATGTTTGTTGATTTTCCCTATGAGTTTCCGGGTCAATCGTCTCCGCTCTTCGTTGCAGATATTCGTTTCCGTGATACCTCGCTGTAGGTGATTGAACAGAATCGAGTTTTCCCAGAGTAAATCCTTCATCATTCTGGAATGAGTTCTAATTATTAATTGGATCCGCGCGGGAGTTCAGAGCCCTAGCGAGCCTCGAGCTCGGGAACGAGCCCCACGAACCTTTTGAGGTGTTTACATTTCTTCGCGAACTTGTGCTCTTGCGTGAGGGAATTCAACCTGGCGTTGACGACAGCTTGGTGGGCACTGCTCAACGCCGAACTCAGCGGCATAGGTCCCACGCCGGACGAATTCATCTGGAATTGAAGAAGAGATTGTAGGTCGTACAGAGGGTATCTCAGAGTAGGACTCTGGGTAGGATTAGCCCCAGGAGCATTAAGCTTCGGCTCTCGGTCAGGTACAGAGTAGGAAATCCTCACAAGCTATTCTCTACGCACGATCTGCTCGAGGGCCCGAGGGGTCGAGTCCACGGTCCTCTGAAGAGCTTACCTTGCATTCGATTGTCTTCGAATTTGGCTGAGCACTTGCAGAACGATCCTCATACAAACGTATCCTTGGGCCTGTCCGAAAGTGACAGCACCGACTGAGGCAAGGGTTCCAAATCGTTCTATTTACACCCGCGCTTCCCTTCGACACACCAGCGAAATGGCGTCGGTCTGGGACATTCCGGCCGGGCTACCTGCCGCGCGTCGCGCGATTCACCCACAGTTCGGAGCGCATCCCGTCGCGAAGTCTTGGCTGCGCGAGCCCGAAGAAAGTGTGAGCTAGGCTCGGAACGAGTATTCACGGGTCGGGAACTTGGACCGGTTCCCTCCACGCGCACATTGTCAAGAACCCGGACCGTCCTGAACGAGACACATGACTAGAAGGGAGTCGTCATTCTGGCTATTCCATTCGTTGGCTTGTGGGGAAATTGCCCCGGGATTGCATTCTCTCGCCGGAGCCCCGTTTCGCAGTATCATAGATGTTCCCACCATCAATTTCCAGATAGTTCATAATGTCGAGGCAGGCTTCCTTCAGTACATTTTCGTTCCGAGGTTGGCTCTCGTAGCGAGTGGTTGCATCAGCGTGTTCTGCCATTCTACTAGAATTGACGTCCGCGATTGCGTTGCGATCGAACACCATATGTGAGAATCTGCATGCGACGACCTGGGAATAACGAAATGCGGCTCGGATCTCGGAATAAAGTCGCGCATCCCGAGGACAATATTCATCTCGACGGGCCAGAGCTTAACCGAAGAGGCTATAGTGAGTGGAACGCAATCATTGCTCGCGGGAGTTCCGCTCTCGATTTTGCGATGGAGCCGAGATTCCTCAGAGAGGAATTCGATAAAAAAAACTAGATTGACGAGGAAACCTTCGAACTCCGTCAAATTGTGGAGAGAGGACATTATTTCGATCCCGTTCTCTCAGGTGACAAAGTCCTCAAGCTCAAAGTTCTGACGCGGACAGCTATGAGAACTGTTCGGAGCAAAAACGGAAAGTGAGTTCTCATGCAGCGAGTCCGAATACATTCTCCTCATCGCCGAGCCTCCCCCGTGACAATCGATAGGAAATCTATGTTATAACAAGATTGAATATCCGCAATCGCTTCCTCCGATTCCAGGATGGTCAGCGCAGCGCGTAGCGATCTCTCGAATTTCGTCAGAGAGAACTCGTTCAGTAGGAGACCCCGCCTGTGGGCAACCCCGATTGAAAACTATTTGGCGGAGCAGGTTCAGTTGACAGCCGAGGGACTTCTCATCAGGATACAGAATGATGCGTTGACGTTCTTAGACGTTCGAGAAGACCTGGCCAACCTCTTGAGTTTGTTCGAGAGAATCTCCGACAACGACAAGGACTCAGCCGAGGTGACTCACTCGTCGAGCATACCCACTTCTGCGAGCGTCTCGGGAAAAGGATGAGTTGAATGCCATACGATTTCCTATTCGTGAACAGGTGCTCTCCATGTACCTGCGGGCCCTGTTGTTGATTCTCACACCGGTGGCTTCGGCCTTGGAGGAAGTCAGCCATGTTCGATGCACGAATTGGATTGCGGTACGGGAAATATTGCCCGCGGTGCCGGACTCGGCCACACGAAGGAAAAAGCGCGGCAAGGAGAGAGGAATTCTCGTACCGTCTGTGTCGAATCTGGCGAAGAGCCGCCTGTTGGGTGCAGGAGGTTTCGGAGCTGTGTACAAAGTCCTGTTCAACGGACGCATCGTCATGACCTGCAAGATAATATCAAGCAAGAAACTGAAAAGAGAGCGGGTCAAGTGTGCTGACAAACTCGTCGCCTCTGTCGCCAAGAGCCATTTCGTCGTCAAGATCTATGCCAGCTTCGAGGTGGGTCGTTGGGCTCATGCGAAAAATTCGTCTCCGAGTTCAATACTGGCTCACTGAACTCCCGGGTTTCACTCATCAGAGGATGTTCTATTTCCGCTAATTTCATAGGCAAAGGGAGCCTTCGTGAGCTTGATGGAGTATGTCCCTGGGATAGACCTCTACAGAATCCTGAAGAACCAGCCCAGCCTGTCCCCTCAGATCATCCGGATCGTTATCGCACAGCTTTGCTTGGCGATACAATTCTTGCATATGACGGGATTCATCCATCGGGATATAAAGGTTCGTCCGAGGACCGATCTATTTTTCCGCGCATCCTTGAGACATTCGACTGTCAGAGTGCTCCATATCGTCGTATTCCCACGAGAGGCGAACCTCAATATGAGTGCTTTGCAGCCTTCGAATATAATGCTACAGGCAGATTGCCGAATTTGCATCATTGACTTCGAAACGTGTAAGGTCTGCTCAGCGAACTTCCTCGAGCGTGTCACGAGCTCCTTCGTCCGCAAAACTTATGCGGAATTCCGCGACGGGCAATCGGCGGGAACGCTGCATTACATAGCCCCGGAGGTCTTGAATCGATCGTCCTATGGCCGCGCGATAGATTGGTAATTCCTTCGAAACGATTCTCGCGGCTTTTGATCTCCCTCGTGATGATTATTCCGACATGTTAGTCGCCAAAGTATTTTGACCGCCCGATGCTCATCTCATAATACACTCCAGAGAAACTCTATATGATGCCCATATGCTTACATCATAGTTTCTCTAACAGGTGGTCGTTGGGAGTCACTGCTTTCATGTTCGGTGCTCAAACATTGCCTTTCCGAGGCAAAGACGATAAGTCATTACAGAAGAAGATAACCTCGAAGACACAAAACGTCGATTTCGATCTAGTTCTGGATCCGACGTTCAGGAACCTCATTCAAAAATGGCTGCAGAAACGTCCTCTCGGTCGGTGTTCCCTTCGATTACCGTCTCTGTTGAAAAACTGACGTCCAATCACCTGCTGCCCGTTCTGAAGCCCCAGTGCTCCACAGACCGGCTCACGGGCCACAGAATGACCACGATTATGGCACATGAATACTTTGAGGGCGTCGATTGGCCGAAACTCGAAAGATCTTCCTCCCTGGGAATGAACAGGGAGCTGCGGGAATACTTCATGGTCGACGCAGCGGGTAGATACACTCCTAGGAGCGACAGCGAAGTCTGTAAGCCGAGATACAGACCTTTGCTCGACATACACGATCTGAAGGTTCGTATATAATCCCGACTCATCAAGACCCTATCATAGAAGAGGTGAACCCGAGCCCGAATTTCACTCACGTACAGTAACACTCAGGATCAGAAAAAACACACGCCGCTCTATACGTTCGTCTCGAGTGGTATGCAGCAGATGCTAAAGTCGATAGATACCGATGAGCCTTTCGCTAGATCCTGGGACGACAGAACAGACCCATTGGGATGTCGAATCAGTTTGGATTTGACTTGTTCCCAAAAAGCCGGCCATTTCTTTGAGGGTGAGTTGATTTTTCATCCCGTCAGACACTGTGGGGGCGTCATCGACTCACGGTTCAGTTCCTCTCAGGTTTCCTCCTTCCGAGAGAGCGGATTTGAGGCGGCTGAATCCGTCAGCCCAAAGAACTGTCAACAAGTAAGGGAGTTCGGTCGCATATGATTGAGGTATTCATCAGTAAAATGTAGAGGATCCTGTAATAAACTTCCATATGGTAAATAAAAAATCGCCTTACCATCATACTTTCTCTAGTATGTCTGGATACCGTGTTCCTTCCTATAAAGAGACACCTCCTGATGGATAGGCTGCCTCTGAGGTGGCCGCACATTTTCGACCCGAAATCGGTGCCTTATCCCGGACATATCCTCCTTTTACCGACGAACGCGAGACTCACGTCGACTCGTGCCTCGCTAGACCTCTCCTGAGGAAAAGATTCCCGATGGGCCTCTGATGGAATCCAAGCAATGATACCCTTTAGCTTTCGAAATGAGAGTTTAGTCATTCGCAGTCTACGAATGACGATGCCTGAATGGCAGTCGTCGTCTGTGTTCGTGATTGATTCGGCCGAAGCGGCGGAACTCGGAATAATTCGTGGAATGTATTGGGTAATCTTTGGAGCCCTATCAAAGACCTATCGGGGAGGGGTTTCGAAACGGAAGTGAAAACCAAAAGGTCCGAACAGATTCGGTTCAGCACGGAAATGGCTTCAGTCGGATAGGCCCAATGTCATCTGTCGGAAAATCAGGGATGTCGCATGAGCTCTCCCGCGCTCAACCCTTTTTGGTCAAACCTAATGGCGAATTTGACTTACTTTGGGTACCCTCGTTTCCGATTGGTTTTTCGCTTCGAAGAGGCTCAAGAGCTGAGGAGAATTGAGTCCAGCTTTGTCGCTGAATTACGGAGATAAGCTCAGAGATTCAGAGATTGCTCCTTTGGCGAATTTCGGAAGGAAGGCTTGAATGCCTCTGGTCAGTGGTTCCCAAACCCTACGGGGTTCCGTAGGGTTTCCGCAGGTAGACTTTGGGGTTCCGCGCAATCCGCCACGGAACCCCGAAGGTTCCGCGGAGCCCAGTTTGGGAAACACTGCCTCTCGTCTCTCGTTACAGTGCCGCTTGATAGTTGATCGGCGGGTATCTCCCAATGAGCGATTACCTCCGTGGAGGGCTCAGTAATGAGCGGGCATGCCCGTTCCCCGGGATATCTACTGCATATGGGAAGCATAATTCCTTCACGCGGCATGCGAGAGCAGTCGACGAGGATATCCTCAGAACTGGAAGCTGATCTCGGGAGAGTTGCCGCATGATGTTACATGGGTTCGGAGAGGGATATCGCCCTCTCTGTGGATGTTCATTCTGCTGTGAGAAAGATCCTGAACACCGAGTCATTAACTCGAGGCAATAATTCCAGAGGAGCGAAATATATTTAATCATCGGGCGGTGGAGAAATCCTGCCGGAGAGAGTCGGAGATAACCGGGACATATGTATATACCCTCCTTCGGAATGAGATCGCGACCTGAAGTGGCTTTTGACCAACGCGGCAGCCTTCCTCCATATCTTTACAAGTCTGATTGTACGGACCTTAAGCTGTGCCGACTCGGGAGGGTAAGCTATGAGATTTCGAAGAACGCTAGATCGTCTCATCTGTTGAGCGAGTGATTGCTACGTATTAGTGGCTATCTTGTCCACTCTTCCATGGGAGTCACAAAACTCACATTCGCGGGTCTTCGAGTCTCTCGAATACCTATCATATCCGATTCTAGGTTCATGCGTGCAGCGGGTGATTCCCGACGGCTCTAACTCCGCAGCCGCATCCGATAGAAATAAGGATAGGGAAATAATAAAAAAGTATTTCATGACTCCTAACTCTACTAGGTATTCAATAGAAGAGTTTATCTTCTCGAGAGATATCTCTCAATTGACGATTTCGATCACCAATAACCGCCTGACAAGAGATTGGATTGGAAGCTTTCCTCTTGGGTGTATGTCCGTAACCCTGATCCTTCCTCTTCGCCGAACGAAAATACGCCCGATTCCTAAGGATCTCGCTCCTACACTGTCGGACCGAGTGAGTTCCCATCAGAATCCCACCGTAATCTGCCCTCAGTCTTACGCTGGGTAGATCGACCGTCCTCTCTTGAACGCCAGGAAACACCTCTATCGCAATCGCCTGCATGACCATGCCTCTCGACCACGGAACTGAATCCGATCGAGACTGAGAGACAGAGACGTGCATGACAATTGCTGGAGAATCTCTTTGTAGGCAGAAACTCGAGCCTTTGAGCATCCGCCCTTCGGCTATGACCGTCCGTCTGCTCTACACGGCCATAAGCGGCCGGGCCGGAATCGCCGTCCTTGTGAACAGATTTTGGCGATTTCCGGAGTCGCCTCCCGAAGATTGTATGGTGTCAGCAGAGCAAATTCTCAAGTACTCGGAAGCTCAAATTAGTACTGGAATTGTCTATCTGGCTACTCCCGTCAAGAACGGGACGGCTGCCCACAGCGGTGCGGGATGGACCTCAGAGTTCACGACTCGAGGGGATATCTTCACGGAGGCCTGAGACCCCGAAAAAGTCCGAGTCGATGGAGGCTCAGTTTGGCTCGCAGCAATCATAGTCAATGGATGGAAGTGTCGAGGGAGCGGAATCGGCTACTTGGCCGACACCGAGCTATACGTGCATAGTTGAGAAGCCAGATGGCCATCTTTTCGGAATCAGTGTGTAGGAGTATGAAGCTATAAGCCTTGATAATCGTGCGGTACTCTGTAGTTCGGCTCCGAAGAACGTAGGTGGAACCACTCGCACGGCCAGTACTCCCAATAGGCATCGATCACCGAATCACTGCCACGGAATATAGCAAGTGACAGCTCAGAAGCCAGGACATCTGCTCCGAACCTCGCCATCGTCGACAAGAATGGTCCAGAATCAGATGAACGTTTCCGCGCGAGGAATCGCCTTCCGAAAATCCCCCAGATATGGTGAATTTGAGCATTCTATTCTAAAGAACATGGTATACAAAATGTTCGGAAAAAGGGGAGCGTTTACGAATTTCAGTACCATTCACAATTACTGCTTCCTGCCCGCAGTGGACAGCTCGGCATCTGCATTGACGGAATGAGCCGATCGTACGGAATACGCTCGCGATACGGGTCCGCCTTCCTATCGTTTCGCTACCGCCGCGATTTGTTGTTTGTTTTCGTCCCGGATTCAGGGAAACTTCGAAATTTCAAAGAAAATCGACTTTGAAACGTCTCACAGTCGGTCGTCTTTCTGTTGTCGGATCTCATTTACGCACCGCCAATCACAGTAAGCACTCATTGTACAATGTGGGTACTATTCGACTCGACTCGGGTCCATGTCGAATCGCCGACATTTCGTTCAATATTCTGTCTTCGATCTTCCGTCTCCAGAGGTCAAGATCGAGCAGACCATCGCAGTCTTCCCCGCCCCTGCTCCTGCGTCTTGAGGAGAAAGTTTGGAAACTTCTACGATGTTTCTGAAAAGAGCACCTAGAACAACGGATCTTGGCAGGGAGACGATCCCTACCGCTCGGACCTCACAGCCAGAATGGCTCTGATTCCCGGAGTGGGAGGGGGAAATTACAGATAAGTATACGCAGTGAAAGCTTCGTTGTGAGAAGCCATGGTTGTGGCATCGAGTTGCGCGGAGACGACCTCGACGAAGATTTCAGATCCAGAAATCAATGAGACAATAAGCTAGGCTGCCAACCGCCTGTCGACCAGTTCGACCAGTACTCGTATCATTACCCGATGAAGAAGAGGTCATCCTAGAAGAACGCTAATAACGCTGGACCTACACATGTTATTGGCGTCAACGAAGCCGTCGATTGAACAATCGCCGACCTCGGAGAATCCGGATTGGTTACCACTGGTCGGTAGCATAGATGCTCCCACAAACTTTCGAATATGCTCGATCTGATCGACTCATAAGGAATCGTTTCCAGCGCAGAATCGCTCATGAGGTCTTCTCCTCGCAGAAGGACAAGATTCTCGATTTCGCCCAGTCGAAAAGGCAAAGGGGAATGGGGATCATTTTGCCGCCGGAATTTTCCGGCGGGTCCGTCGGCGTGTATGGCATCCAGAGCACGCCTGGGGCACCCAGAGGGATTTCTGTGTCTCGGAATACGGAGGCTTCATGAGGAATCAAGTGGCGACTCTTCATTCGTGAGGGCGTCGCATACCATACAACCGGTTGGGGGACAGCCGAAAAACGGGCTGAAGAAAGCTATTAGGTGCCGATTGCTGATTGACGGAGAGTTTCGCTACCCCAGTGAAGACCGGAAGAGAAGACGCGCGACTTCGAAAGGCTCAATTCGGAGAAATCGGACTCGATGAATCTCATCTGTGTGACACAATGGCCAAGGCCGATTCTGACGACTGACTGCGGCAGAACGGACCGTTACGGACCCGGCCGGCCGCTTCCAGCGCGACTGGACGGCGGACCGAGCGGCTTGCTCGCACCGATCCTCACTGAATTAAATTGTCACTGAGGCAAGAATGGATCTGCTGCCTTTTGTCATGCTATCAGAAGCCAACAGATATTTCCCTGAGCTCGGCGTCTACGGCGACTCCCTCATCCGAAGGCCAGCGTCATCAAGCCCCGACTTCCGTCTGGAGTTGCCGCCGTCGCGTCGTAGGTCGTAGATTTCGTTTTTCGTTGGATAAGCCTAAGCCCTGGGGCACTCTCGGGCCCCTGTACGGATGTCAATCGTTCCAGACTTGCCTTTGACACCGGCCTGCGCTCATTTCTTCCTATAATGCTCTCCCTGTGGTCCATAGTCATCATATGACATCGAACACGGTCTTTGGCTGATTCAGATAGACTACTCCACATGGATCGAATGAAGCTGGCTCTTCGCCTCAGAAAATGCAACTTGAGGTAGTATAAGGCGACGATAGCAGAAGGGACGCCGGAATGTTTTGCCGGAATGTTTCATATACTTTATGTCGCAGCTTCCATAAAGTCAGCTCAAGGCAATTGAGGCGTGAGCCTCGGTCATACAAGGAGCCAGTCAAAATCTTAAAAGGTTCTGAGAACTTTGAAGGAAAAAAATTGCGGCGATGCTGAGGAAGCCAGCGTCGAGCCCAACCTTCGCAGTTTTTCGCTGAAAAGACAGCGTTCGTTTGACAAAAAAAAGTGACGCGGGCTTTTCAACTGTAGTCCGCCTGTTATTTAACAACAGAATCTAATTCAGAGCAGAAAACTGCCCGACCTCATTTTTCTCCGATTCTGTGGATGTCGGCAGCTCCGTATCTGATCACTCAAGTGTGTACTTATCGTCTGCTTCTGCTGAGGATTTTTTTGAGCGTTTTGTCCGGACAGAATGTCAGACTTGTTCCCCGGTAGTCATAGCTGTCAAAGCCCCGGTGCCCCTTGGAACGGAGAATCTGACCAGAATCCATCCACTCCGATAATGATAAGGAGTCAGCGATTCGAACCAGGAGACAGCACAGATCTTAGTGTGGGATACGTCCGGTGATTCTCGTAGTTCTTGATTATCAGCTATCGGATGGGAATAATGTCAGATGACCGTGAAAGTTGATTCAACAGGTCAGATAGCAATCTATCCATGCTGTACCGATGACAGCCTTCAGCAAGTTGAATGAAATTTATAGTAAAACGTGATTACTTCTAGCATCGACTTGGCGAGAACTGCAAGAGATTGAATGATTTGATTTCACGCGAATAAACATTAGTGTTCGCTCGCCAGGAAGGGAACTTGAATTACCAGACAATCAATTTTTTCGCGTCACATTGTGCATATGGCGGCCTTGGATATTTTCAAGTTAGAGATCCGTCTTGGATAGTTTCTCCTCATCAGGACGATGGCACTAGGGGACTGCAAAAGAATAGAACCTATGAAAGACTGGTTTTGGAGATCATGTTTTTTTTTTCGGACCACGCTCAGTGAATCGAAGCGATTCGCGTCTCGCGGCGGATACAGAGTGATAGAAAGCCCTTCCTGATCGGAACCGGGAAGCTGGTGGGTGAAAAGTAGATCGAAATCTATAGGATGACTTCGTCAGTCGATTTCATCTCCAATGACCAGATTCAAAGGCCAGCTACTGTGGTGCATTGACAGGCGCCAATCGCAAAATAGTCCGGACATCGGAACGAAGCTGTCATGGTTTTGACTGCTGGAAATCAGTGTTTGATCCGGGAAATTTCTTAACAGATGCGGAATGCTCGGTCGAAATCACGAATTTTGCTGTCACTGATGCATCTGTGACGCCGTGTGCTCGCTCGTCCAATATTTCACGGATTCCAATCGGATGCTGAGACAAGACCTCCGGATATTTGATCCACAATGAAACATTTTCTTCGAGAATCCTCTAGCAGTCCTGCCAGTTTCGCTCTCTGAGGATGTCCGAGAACCCCGAGCCGTCGACGGCCTAACGACACTCGGTCACAGAGTTCGGGATCGCCAAGCTCTCGTAGCATCGTTCTGGGATCCAGAGAGGAGAGAAAATCGGGAAAATTTCATTCCAGACCCCGAATGTGGAGTCGAGAGATCCTATAGCTGCTCGCGGGGTTCAGCGACGTGAGCAGACTTTTCACCGTACACAGAGCAGCCGTCCCTCGCCGATTAATGCCTCGGAGGGAATTCCTAAACTGAGGAATATTTCGGGAACGCGAAGACACTCGGCACGGAAATGATGCATACCCTACAAGCATTAACGTTCCTTCCATTGTGACGATTGTGTTCCGCATCCGGAGGCTATTTAGAGCATTTTCTGTCCGCTTACGATGCCGAAGTTCAAAGATCCTTTGTCTGGAATTCCCGTTCAAGGTCATGCTTATGGACATCGTGAGTCGCTGAATTGTCATCCGATGGTTAGACGCGACGATCGCCGTATTCATGTAACACTTCTGCTCGATCTCTTCGCTTTCTGGCCCGCAGGCTCCAGGTTAACGTAATTCTCCAGAAGCGTGTTTGACGACTCAATTCCAGTTTTTTCTGCGCAGCTCCCATGGATCGCTCTGGGAACTTCAATCGGCGTGAGAGGTCTGCATCTTCTCGCACATAACTATCTACGTTTCCTACACATCTTCCGTCGTCCCAATCTTATTCGATGGAGAGCGCCCATCACTGAAACTCTACCGGGCTCGCCTTTCATGATCGCTGCCACAGTCAGCAGAATCATCGGCGGTGTCCGGTCAGGCTCGCGATACTCACGCACCGGGGTTTCGATCGAAGGTTTAGGGGAGAGCTCGACGCGTCGACATTGTTGCCGTCGCGAGCAGTTTTACGCATATTTCTAAAGAGCTACGCGCTTCTACTTAAGGAGAAGAGTTTGACATCAAGTGAAACAAAACTACCCGAGCTGCTTCGAATGTGTCGTTGACGAGTGTTTGTCCTTGAATTTTGGAAGCAAGGGGTTCAAGAAAAGTGTCGGTCATCGGTCAGTGACCTGACGAATACCTCTTTTCGAAATGTCGTTTTCGCTTTCTTCGCCGTAAAGCTTCACTGATAAGGAGGAGACATGAAGAAGAAAGTATCATATCATCCTGGTATCAGCGGACGTGTCATAATTAATTTCGTCAGGGCAGCATTCTGTAGCCGACGAGCTATGAGAATTTGTCATGAGAATTCTTCAACGGAAGTCGATGCTGGGTAGGTCCTCAGCAGGACATCGACGCAACAGGCGTGCGGCAATCACTGTTGATAAATTGGAGATAAAGATTGCTGACCGCGCAAACAACGGGTGTGAGGTGAACCGCTCCAACGCCTCTTGTCTGCCCATTCTGTTGTGATTAGGGGTCTCTCAAAAGTCTTCATACCATTCGACCACGACCTCAGAGCGGCTGCGTACGCTATGAATATGCGACGTCAGCTCGCTTGATCGGATGGGCGAAGCTGCTCACGGCCATGCCGGTAACTACTCTGGTTATGGAATCCCTCGTGTGCGTGTTCATCGATGGATCGACCGCCAAATGGGTAATTTGATAGTTGCGCGTGAGATCGGCTTGGAGGAAGATGAATTATCCGGATGATGCTGGTGAGCAGCTCCCGCTGAAGATAGGCGGGTCAAAATCACGATTCGGACCCGACCTTGTTCCCTCGCGGTCTGACCGCGCCGACAATGCATAGGATCCATTCGCCTGTGGGACAGATAGCATACATTCTGTTATATCATCATCATCGTCATCATTAGATGTTCGAGGATTATCTCACAGCCCGAGTTATTCTGTACCGCTCACTGGTAGAGCAACGACGCGACGATCGTAGGGGCGGCAGTCAGCGGTCAAGGGTCGAATGAAGAGTTAGTTGTGCATTTTCCCTGAACCGAAAAACGCGACAGTGAAAGTGATGAAGTCGGTGGTGACAATTGTGACATAAAAATTAGAAGCTCTCGCGGGACGAGTATTGTCTTCGGAGCGGTTTCCACTCCGCCATCCAAAGGTCAGCCGCGCCGACTTTCCCAGATGCTTTCGAGAAATATTTTCAGATCTGAAAAACTTTCTAAAAATAATACGCTTTTTTTCCTCGTTGGACCGACCTTTTAATGAAGCCGAGCTCGTTCGCACACAGGGTTGGAAATAGTACTCGCAGGAGATTACTCAACGTGTTCCGAAACCGACCTGGGCAGCGTCGCTTTGATACCGATTCGACAGCAGAGCTCGGGCTCCGGCAAACGATTTCACTCTGAAGAATATAATGACTGCCTCTCTGCGAAGGGTGCCAGTCGAGCGCGGCTTGGACCTTTATAGTTCCTCCTCCGTGGGGTCCCGCCGGAAGAACGATGGAGCATGAACATCCGGCTCGTGATTCCGAGGTGTGGCTCGCGGGAAATCGGGCGCACAGCGGGGGAGTGAATCCGAATCCCCCAGTGTCGTTCATTGATTCACGATTCGATCCTGATTCATGTCGGGGTCCGAGGAGAGCAATCAATAGAGATTGGCTCTCACCTGTTCGTTGATTTCCCGGTGGAGATAGTCTTCTTAGCTTGGAAAGTTTCTCCCCCGCTGGGAAGAGGCATCGAGAAGGAATCTGTCTTTTCCATTCGTATCACCCCCTCGCTCCCCCTCCTGGATCGCGTCTTGGGACGTGCGCGCCGGAATGATGTTTCTCGCTGAGCATGTGTCAAAAAAAAAAAGATTTTCTCGCAGAACTTGATGGCGTCCGATCCGGCAGAAATTCCTAGGAATATTCGGAGCGAGTGAGCAACCAGCTGAATGGGGCATGCGACCGGCAGCACAAATGGACATGTGGGTGATGAACGTCAACGCGACGGAGGTAATGGTAAAAGGCGGGAGAAAGGAATGAGAGTGAATGAGATGGCAGAGAAGTCCGAACTTTCTGTGTCGATGGTGTTCGTAGTTCGCACCCGAATAAAACCATTCCGACGACAACGACTGTAGCAGCACCGTTGACGCTGCCTGGAGAAACTCTTTGTTACAAACAGCCGCTGCGACCAGGGCGCGCGTGACAATACGCAACATTATTCCACGCGAGAAATTAACAAAGAACGCTGTGTTTCTGGCGACCTTCGCCTTATCCTCGATACGACGCTGCATAGAGACGTGCCTGAGCCACTATCCTGACCTTAGAAAATATTGTAGCAGAAAGACGGAGGCGACATTGAAACATGGGATTCGAGGGAGAAGATGACAGGCCGACATGCACACATCTACGGTGGGCATCGCTCGCTCCTCGAATCCTGTCTGAAAACCCGACTGATAGGCACTTCTCCCGACGCGACGGTGCGAATTATCGCCGATTGTCATCACGTTATCAGTAATCAATTATCCAGTTTTGCTTATTCTTCGGTGATTATTCATCGACCGACCGATCTTCCCACCGCGCAGATATGTCTCGATATTGATTCCTTCCTGAGGGGTTTCTGGAGCAAAAGGTCTGATCCATCTGCCAGAGTTGTCAAAAGCGGTGACGGAACCCGATCTGAGCCAAGGACACAGACACGCCTTCCAGACTCCATGGAAAAGTCGAAAGAATGAAAGAAAGGGATTCGAAACGAGAAGCGTTCGACCACCACCGAGGAATTTTCGAAAGCCCTTTCCGTGCCGGAGTTTGCGATCGCAGTACTCGATGTATTGATCAAGACACCGGTCCGAACCGCTGCTCACCATGAATAAATCCGGGAGTCGATTGGATCCGCACCTTGTGGGCCAAGGCTACGGGATTAGTTCAGGTATAACGGAAATGAACTTTCCATTTCACTCTGGCTTCTGGACATGCTGAAGAAAATTTCTGAGCAGACGTTTGCTGTCGAGTCCTGTGACGATTGATTGATGGATCGATCGTTGACTGGAAGCACGAAGAGAAAATCGGCGTGTCGGATCAAAGGTCTTAAACGAAGCAAGACGAATCTTGGGCCTGAGAAGTCCCGTCTCGGAGCCCCTTACGATCCGACATAATCGTGGAAAGTGAAAGGCTGCGGCCGGTTTCAGGGTATTTCCCTGTTTAGAGGGGACGGGACCATGTTGTCCCTGGGGAAAGTTGTCATGATTCCAGTTTTACTCTCATTTGTAGCTGATATATGCCCTTGTTTCCATTGGTGGAACGAGCGACTTCAATTCATGGCTTGTTCCAGCGAAATGCATGCTAGCTGAGCGGGCAGCCAGTGTTGAGACGTACTGGACGCATTATTCTGGACTGATGACGGCTACGCGATGTGTAACTTGATCGCGAACAAGTGCAAACGACCTTCGCGGAGATCAAGGGTCATCTCGATTCTGCTGGAACACCCAGACGCTCATGCGGCGTCCAACCACCCGCCAGTCTGCAGGTCGGTCCGTCAGTCAACCACCCAGTCGAGCAGCCGGGCAGACACAATACAATATTGTCCCACAGGAAGGCCCTAGATTCGCCCGAGGCTCGAGCCTATGTGCTAAGTACATCGGCGGCGGCGGCAGTTGAATGTCCGTTGTTTTACAGCAACGAGGTGTCCCAGATAGGGCAACCGCGCCGACCCAGCTATTCACAGGCACTATTATCGTTCCGACTATACTGTTGCCGCTTCCTTCGACATTGGCAGAGTCGCGCTCGATGACGATTCGTAACGTGGCGGAGTTTCCGTAGAGTGACGGTTAGTTCACCACATCTCGATGGCAATGTCACAAGTGCGCCAGGGCCCACGGAGACGATGGCTCGAATCGTATCCTGCTCTTAGACCGACGAGGATCTTTTTCGGATTTCATAGACACTGGCGGTGCTTGCAATCGGAGCGGGCTTCGGACTCGTTCAGGGACTGGAGAAATACTTACGGAGAACGATTCCTCATCATTCAATCCACGGCTGGTTCCGGCCTCATTTTCGCTGGTGGATGAAAAGCGTGCGCATCGCGGTCACCTTCGAAGCTCTGATAGGATTATGATGAAAAAGCCAAGGCAAAGTTCTGAGAGTCCAAAGGAGAACGATGTATGGGGGAAAAAATGCGACTTCTTAACCGAAAATGGCGCAACAAGAATTTATTGAATTGCTCGAAATTCCCGTAAACAGAATCTTTCGCATAACATCAACACATGCGTACGGCTAAGGCGGGTACGCCCTGAGGGACGTAACAGTATATACATTCGGCTGGTCATCAGAATTGTGACAGTATTCCCTCCTTTCTTTGCATGCATCATCGTACCGTGGAGCCTGGAAGTCCACGCTACGTGAGGGTTCTTCATTCGCGGTCCGCGTGTTCCGTAGGCATTCGAGAACAGTGGTCTCACAACAGTAACTCGACGAGCACATTCCCGAAATGCGCTAGCTCTTGTGGCGTGGATTCGACTTCTTCCCACCTGGGACAAAAGCTCCCGCTAAATTCGAGCGGGCATGAAATTTCTAGATATCCAAAAGATGGTCCATTTGACCGTCTGCCCGTGTTTGCTCGATAGTGTTTTATGTTCGTTTGTCGCTTGTATTATCGTGGAACGCTGTGTGTCTGTGTTTGAGTTTGGCAATCATAAATAGAGATGACGCTGTTTTTCCTGACATGTTTGCTAAACTATGGCTTGGCTAGCTCGTTCACTCGCTCGCCTGCTTGCCCATTTTGCTCGCAACTCGGAAGCGTGTGTGCGAACGGCTGCGGGTCATCACGAGGATTTTTTGATGTATTCGAATGGCGAGTGATCTGCCAACGATTTCGGTCGTCTGTCAGATATGAAAGCTTGAGCTCCTAAATGTTGTTGCTGCTGCTGCGCGAAAGTTCGCGATTCTTCCGAGGAGGCTTGCGACTGCAGGTGTGAAGTCGAATACAGCGGATAGTGGAGCGGACCCGCAGTCAGGAGCTCAGGTCTTCGCTGGAGCAGCTGCTGCTGCTGCTCCGCTACTCGGCCTGGAGCAAGCTGGAAGCCTGCTTGGCCTTGCTGCTGCAGGTGGAGCGGCAGCTGCTGCAGCTGCTGACCCGCAGCGAGGGGTGCTTGCAACTGTTGCAGCTGTTGACTTCCGGGAGGCGCCTGATGAATATGGTGCGGTGCATGGGGCGGGAGGTTGATCTGCTGATGAGCTAGCTGCAGGTGCTGCTCTGGAGCTCGGAATTGTTGTGCTTGCAGGTGTTGTGGGGCTAATTGCAGCTGCTGAGGCTGATACTGAAGCTGTTGAGGGAGTTGTTGTCTCTGCGCTTGCTGCAGCTGCTCAACCGGCACACTCTGGATTTGAGGTCCTTGTTCTGGAGGAGGGGCGAAATGTCGCACTGCTTGTTGATGTTGAGGCAGGTGTTGAGGGATCTGAGGCGGCGGATGTTGAGGTTGATGGGGTGAAGGAGAAATCTGGTATTGGGGCGGGAGCTGACCTTGAGCATTGACCTCATACGACGGCGGTTGGGGATACTGCGCCGGAATCGATTGGGAAAGAATTTGTTGCTGAGGAGCGAACTGCAGAGGAGCCTGTGCAGGAGGCTGAGGGGCCTGCAAGAGACCCGGAGTGGACTGCACTGGACCCTGAGGTGGACCAAGGAGCGCTTGCAATCGTGGAGGATGTCCCACGGGGGCTTGCTGTTGCAGGTGACCGGATTGATGCGGGGGCGCATTTGGTTCGTGCAATCGTTGATGCTGAGGTCTCACATGAACATCTGACTGCTGCAAGTGGACCGGCGGTGAGCTGAACGTGGGCGCCGACTGGGGAGGGATCTGGAAACTTCTCGGAGGAGGGGGCTCCTTAAATTCTTCCTTTCTCTCGGCTTCCCTGAAGCTCTCATCTGTTGTCTTATACTGTTCGAAGGTGGGAACCTGATGACGCAATGCCCCATCCTGATACCTGCTCACGATCGCTCCCTGATTCTGAAGGAAGGTCGGTGTCTGTCTCGAATAGTAGTCATGCAGAGCGTGCTGTTGCTCAGGGGGCGGGGGCGGTCTCTGGCGTGCTTGGAGCGTCTGCTGTGGATGCAGAGGCTCCGCGGGAGCTCCCTGGAAGTTAAAATTCGGGACGGAATCCTGCTGGACGCCTCGAGGAAATTGTGGGGTAGGTGCTAAGTTCGGTTGTCTCTGGTGCTCGATCGCTTGCGGCACTTCTTTCGCTAGTTGGGGGATATGAAGTGGGTGTTCCACAAGCTTCAATGCCGCAGCCCTCTCGATCTCAGTCAGCTTGGGGTACGAGGGAATCTTGAAGGACTCCACTGGGGTCCCAGGATTTGCTACGCTCGGCTGATAGAGGGGTGGGGGCTGTACGAGACGTGACTGATACAGAGGCTCCTGGTGCTCCGGGGGCCTCTGGAAGCTACGAGCTTCGAGTCCAGGGTGGGGGGGACCTTGGATCTGATGGGTCGGGTTGTGTATCACAGCTGGGTTTTGAACGGTCTGTTGAATCGAAGGCAGATGGTGCTGGTGTGGAATCTGCGGGGGCAGAGACTGCAGCGGAGGAGCTTGTTGGGCAGGGGGCAGATGCTGAGGTGTGGGTCGGTGGATCACGGCCGGACTCGGCGCTTGGAGAGGCCGTAACGACGATTGTTCGTGCGCAGGAACTTGGTAGGGCCCGACAGGGGGCTTCACGAGTCGATAGGCCTCAGATGGTCCGGTCAGCTTCCCGGACGGGGGAAGGAACCCCGTGACGGAGGTCCCTTTGAACAGAGGCACGGGCTTGAGATCACCCACGGGGTCATCGTAAACCACATCCTTGTGTCCGGTCAAAGGGGAGGTGAGTTCCTGGGATGCAGATCCGTCACCATGCTGAAGAGGCTGGCGCTTCTTTTTGAAAATAGGCTTCGCCAACCTACGTCGCACTGGAGGAGCGTGCTCTGCAGGAACGTAGAACACCGTTGAAGAATCGTGGATAGTCTGGCTCAACTCGAGTCCATTCTCGGTGGTTTGCAGTGCATCGGAGCCGTGCTTCTTCTGACGAACTACGACTCGTCTTCTCGATTTTCGAGGCGTGCCTTCATAGATGAGTCCGTTCTGAGGTGGGGTCCTGATGGGCGGTTTTACGTAAGCGTGAACCGGCCCGTCGTACATTTTCGGGCCGTTTGGCAGCAGGGTGTACATGGAGAGAATGTTAAATTTGGCTGGGTCGAAGCGTTGTGACGTTTCGAGATCCTTGTGGAGGATCGGTGCAGGATGGTGCGTGGGAATGTGATGAGCGGAGCTCAACCTCAAGGGCTCGAACTTCGGCCTGTCCTGAACGAGCGCCGCCGGTACGGCCTCTTGAGGGAACGGGATCGGTGCTTCGTACTTCGGTGGAGCTGCTGCGCCAGTCGGTTCGTATTTAACCATCTTGACCGGTCCCAACGGGAGTATTGGAGACTGCATCGGTACCGGGGTCCCGATAACGTTCAGTAGAGGGCCGATCTGGATGGCTTTCGGGTGTGGTTTGTACTCTATGCTTTGAGCCGCTGGCGCAAACTTGCTCGACTTGTCGATTGTGTACATTCTCACCGGACCGTTGGGCAGGACCGGCGAATGGAACGTCGGCGCCGAAATGAGATTATCTTTGAGTCGTTTGGACTCCTTCATTTTGACGGGCAACGTCATCGGTGAGTCTTTGTCTTCCAAAGCCATGATTGAAGGTCTCTTCTGGGTCTTAGAAGCTGCAATGAAGATCGTAGGCATTGGAGAAGCTACCGGTTGGGGGAATTCTGTCAAAACAAAAAAAACCGCCACGACGACCGCTCAATCAGAGGGAATAACTCACATGCGGCTTCGTAGGAATTCGTGCCGGGCTCATTGGTTTTGATCTGAACTCGGAAGCCGTTCTCGTCCGCGATGTATTGAACGACTCGCTGCCGTCCGTCGGCGTCGGTGAAGCCGTACGAGCCGATCTTCCGACCGGTGCCATCGCCCACTTCTTTGTGGAACTTATGTGAATTATCAGTTCCTATCTCATAGCCGAAGTTGTAGTTATCACTGGCGATGGCGGGCTCGCTGGCTGCAACCTTCTGGAACACAGAACGACAGCGATCAGAATAATTGCACGTTGTAGAACACCGACTTTCATGTCGTGTAAACCGAAGCCTGTCATCGCGATTCTTTTTCGTGCGGAGGACTGCTTCACGAACAGAGTGACCCTGCACAGTGCTCCCGTGACGATCGCTGTGGCCAGTGTTGCTCGGTGGCTTTCGAAAGAGGCTGGACGCACCACCGAATGATTGTCATTAGTCGTGACGATTAGAAAGTTATCTCTCAACAACAAAAACTAGTGGAACGATGGACCCTCCGCTCTGAGGAACGAATCAAATCACCTCTGTCATTGAAACCATCTGAGCTCTTCATCCGAGGACTACGGGAGCATCGCCGCCACCGCGCTACCTGACGATGATCTTCGCAACGACTCCCAGAATCTTAGCACGCACGCCGCTGTACGTAATTATTGTGATGAATCGCCGAGGCCTCTCATTGGGATTATCGAGAAGGTTGATCGAAAGCACAATAAGAATCATCCGGAAATCGATCGCGATGGGTGCTTCCCGGAGACCGAGCTTCTGTTGACGGAAACCATGAAAACTTTCGATTCCACGAAACCATCCAGTTGTCACGGTTATGTGCTCCGCTATATGGACAGCTTCCGAATACGCATCCCCCGATCTGCCTTCTTTTCGGAAGAAAAACTCATAGGGAGGTGATGAAGTCTACCGTGGTCTCCTAATGATTGTTTTCTATACGGAAGCGGAAAACACGGTCACGAGCCGTTTCGCAGGGCGTTGCGATGCTATCTCGTCGGTGCGTGCCTAATTGTCTCCAATGAGCACTTCGACATTGACAGTGGAGCGAAGTTGATCGCATTATGGGAGAAGAATGTTTCCGTGAATGTTTTCGAGCGAAGTTACGTCTCCGTCTCTGAGCTGCCTCCGACGGCTCCCCAGTGCCGAGGTTCCTCCGGTTCCCACGAAGATGTCAACCCACGCTCTCTTCTCGGCTGGCACCGAAAATCGGTGGCCGTCGTCTTAACCTTTCCGAGTTGATGACCGCGCATTCGAGAAAGAATCCGTATCGGCATCGTTGTGGCGATCGGGGGTGGAATCAGAATTTCCCCATGAAAGAGAGCTGTTCGGAGGCGACAGATGTCAGTGCAACGTTTGAGCAATGCGCTGTCGACACGAACAAGAATCGCTCGACAACGAGCCGGACCGTCCGAACAAAGACGAATTCTTCATTGAGCCGGACGATTGTCAAAAGTCGCTCGAGGATTGATAAGACTTATCTTTGTTTCGCTACACGCCAAATGCCCCGTGAATGAGGTGAAAACAGAGAATTCTGACGAAGACGCAAAGACGACGACGGCGTGCCAAGCGTGAAACTGTTGGAAATATTCGGGGAACGGAAACTATTCTGCTGGGTCGTTCGGTCGTTGGAACCAATCGTTTTCCCTCTGACCGGCGCAGTCTCCCAAATCGTCGCGGCAAGCAAATTACCTCGGAGACCACGCCTTCGAGGAGAAAAAAAACTGCCTAAATCGTTCCATGCCGTTTTTCGCTGTACGAAGTATTCTCTTCCGCGTGTTGACCTCGAGATCAGAGAGCTTGGCTCGGTTCCGCGGTCCGAAGCTAACCGAGAAATCTGAAATAACATTGTCTCACTCGTAATTGTGATTCCGACCGTTTAGGCGAGATGCTTTCTCGTCGGAGAACAACAGTGTGTTTTTGTCAAAGCTCCGTTGTTATGCGTAATTCGTTGTCGGGGTTCTCTGTCGCTTTTTTGTGTGTCCACGTACGGGCTTAGGAACACCTCAGGGCAAACGAAGCTCCATCACCGAACAGAAACATAATGCAGACGGGATCACCTTCGAACAGAGACAACAATAACAACAACACGTCGGTGGGGAAGCAGTTCCGACGAAGACTGCGCGTGACCAGTTACGACGAATAGGTACTTGACGAGCGAAACTTTCTTCCGTGATCTCCCTTGCATTGCACCTATGTATTGACTTCCCACGAGCGATCATGTCTCACGACGGTAGACGAGGGCGGAATTCCGTCGATTCCGAGCGCGAGATCCGAACCGATACAGAATTCCAGATGCGTTTTCTATCGTTCGACACGTACGGATCCAATTTCACGCAAAGTAGAAAATATCGTCGACGAGGAGCGAAGAACGCGTTGACTGACTGAGCGAGTTGAATGGGTATAAACTGCTGACATCTCGGGAATGAACAATCAAGGCTGAGGGTTAAGGTCAGCGGCTCTTTTGGTAGAGAAATTGTGCCGAACGAACGCGCCTTGATCGACCACTATTCTGCCCCAAGAGAGGGAGGAGAAAGGACTGACTACGACAGTCCATTGTGATCATGCTCCGGCGATGGTCCGACTATAAGTCCGCGCCACCTGAATGTCCGCCTGCCTCAATCACTGGATTAGTGGTAGCCGCCAGCGCGGCGGCTCCAGCTCCTCGGGAGAGTCGACAGTTTTTTTTGAAGGTGATCAAGTTAGGCGACGCTCATGTTGCACCTTCCGGTCGTTCTGTGCAGGGGCTCACGACCCGGAGCTCTTTCCCAGACTGCGACGAGTTTAAAGCGGTTCAGAACTCTGCGGAGTCTATGATAGAATATCGGAAATTTATAGGTTCGACGTCAGTGAAAGAGGCGGAAAAGATGGAAGCTCTTCGAGCGCCCCGAGAAGACGACGCGACGAAGCGACGGTCGCACGAAGGAAAGTCCCAGGCAGACCAGTGAGGCACGAGGAAAAAAATTATGGGAGTGAACCCGGACCGGAAAACTCTGCGGAACATCGTACTGATGTCGAAGGAACAGGGGGATCGAAAGTCCTCTGCGAAACATGTTACCTTTTTCGGTGCTGCGTCGGCTAATGACGTTTTCACGTAGAGCAGTAAGAGCAGGAGTTTGAATCTCATCTGGAAGAACAGAGGCGGATAACGTTAGAAGAGCGACGACGGTCGTACATCCGGCGCAGAACGAGCCACCCAGCCCAGATCAAAGCTAGCTATACACCAGTCAGATAACCACGACGATGTTCGGCGGACAGATCGTTTTTTTGCACTCACGGCTCCTCGTTTTCGCCGATGATTTTTTTTTGTTGTAAGATTGCTCCGTTCGAACAACTGCGCCAAACACATTTCTCATGGCGCTTTTGTGATGCGTAGAAGGTTTGCGCTTGACCGAGCGATCAACGAAATTCCTCCTACACCCGTGTGTTTTCGCTCCCGCTTCCCATTTAGCCCGCGTTATCAGTGGATCGTCATGGCTGTTGACCATGCAACAAGCGGACCACAGACGGCGAATAGTTCGATCTTCGTGCAGACTACAGGGATGGCAAATGAGCAGCAAGACAAATACGTAACGTTACACAAGCTTTCCGAGGACAAACGGTCGGAAAACCATGGGCGACACGAGAGAAAAATCGAGAAAGTGTCCGATATACTGTGAATCTCAATATTTCAATTCGATTTTACTCGATCGTAGATAAGCGGTGCCGCGTCGTCGCCGTTGTCCGCGAAAGAGCGGACCGCGTGGAACGCTATCGTCGGCGAACGTCATTCCAAGTACGCCACCCGTGAGAAACGTAAGGCGGATGCGGCGCTCTTTTTCTTAACGCTTCATTTCACGCGTTTCATAAGAGATAAACGTAAGCCCCTGCGCAACGGTACCTATCCGGGCGGCGGAGACGAGTCTGGATTGCAAACCAGAAAGCCCTATGAAGTCCAGAACGGGGTTCCGATTGCAGGGCCGATAACCTGCAGGACCTCGAATAGCGAAGACGAAAATACCCCGGGAAAAATTGGCCAAGTTGGGCGTGCGAGAGGGCTGCGACTTCCCCCGGGACGGTACGGCGCGCAGAAACGCAATTGTGAGGCTCAAAGGACATTCATGCGGTTTCTGGATTTCGGGGGAACATCTGAGGGCCCCGACGATGACCACTGTGAACTATGTCTGAGTTCCCATCGTTAAGAGACGTCATAGTCCGAATTAAGATCACGCTAAGGTCAGCCTTCTTCAGCGGCGTCACATCAAGACGACGGGCTTCAAAGCCGCTTTCAGCACTCTGAACTTCAGCTCCGACGGTGTGGCGAGCACCTTTCGGCACATTTTTGAAGTTTTTTTCCCCTTCGTCTCTCATTCTGGTCAGCAGCTCAGTGAGACGTTCGACTGGTGTCAGAACCTCAAGATCAATCACACCCTGACATCGAACAGAATCGAAAGCGATCCCTGTCGGATCGATGACCGTATTACGAAAGATAGGCCTTGCCCCTTCAGCGACAAGGGGCACAGAAAAAGATAACGAGGACCCAATCGAAGTACCGGGATACTATCGAAGATGGGCGCCGCGCGGTGGCAAAACGCACCATCACGTGTGACTGTAGCCGACGCGAGAAAAGAAAATTTCATCGTTATCCCCGTCGTCTACGCGGATTCGGTGAATGCATCGAAGTACGTACATCGATTCGCTCGATCATCTTGTTTGACCAATATTTTATATTCGTCGGGATATTTAGACAATAATTGAACAATGCCAGCGTGGTGCGGACGACCTCGGACTGACACAATGGCCTGCAAAGGCTACAAGATCATCATCTCACTCAGCATGTATAAATAAAGCATCAAATTGAACGGAGAGCTTTTCAGGATTATTGTTCGAATATATTATCTTGTTGACCAAACAGAATTCCGACGATACCTCTGCAAGGACTGAACCATTTGCACGCGGCATCAACACTGTAGAATTCAGATTCCGATGATTTTGAAGCTTCGCCGGTTCGCGAGGCGCAGCAGCATTCTTCATCTTTCCATCGAACTGACAAAATGAAACAGATCATACAAATTTAAAGATCTGAAGAGGCCCAGTATGGGTCTTTTGAGGACTGCCGCTATCCACGGGAAAATCCGCTCCACAAAAAATCGTTTCATTCGGAGCGGGACTCATATTTTCGTAATGAGTGTACGCGCAGCTTTATCGGAAACGTCTATTCTCGGTCACAAACGAACAATTTATGTCGAACTGATGAATGACGGCATCAAGTCCCCGCACAATGCGCCAATTTTGAATCACTCCTCGCATTGCTTCCAGCAGACGCATATCGACATCGAAACAGAATACTGGCCGCATGTCTCCATGGGTGGCTCCGTGTGTGGCCCATTCATCTGGCGGCGAGAAATCAAAGAAAAACAACAGTTCGCCTCATTGCGAGACAATACTAAAGAAGTATTCCCCTTCTAGTACCAATCGATGTAGAAATTGTAGCACGACGGATAATAGTCGAATCCGAACAGACGACAAATACAACAGGTGATCTTCTAAATAATTTGCCGGAATGGGGCGGGCGGTGACCAGCAGCCATGAGAGCTAGCTGCCACGCCACGATGAGACAACGCAAAACAATGCCATTGCGTAGCTCACGCGCAGACAAAACGTGCCCCTTTAACGATAGTGACAAGAATCGCTCGTGGAGAAACTAGCGAATGGAAATAGAAGCACTGGAAGCATGTTCATGACACATGAAGCGTAGTGTAGATAAGGGACGAAGAGTGCGTGGTCGTTGGTCGGAGTAGTCCAATCTGCCCCGTTATCCACGAGGCATTTTTCGAGGAAAAGGCTCGTCGTAAATTCACAAATTACGATGCTCCAGGATCAATTGCCAATCATGGACTTCATCGTCCCGCTCGACGCTCTTCCCAGATCGGATCTGGCGGCAAAAAACTCGACACTCGGGCTCAACGGCGCGTCCAAGGTAATCGACGAGGTTAACCCCCAGCGGAGAATCGAGCCGCAGCTTCCGGGCGAGACTCCATTTTCTGAACGGAAGATCATGTGCCCTCCTCGAGAGACGACGCCCCCCCCCCCACCACACCCTTCCTGAGAATGAAACTATCCCGAATGTTTTCAACGGTGGGAATGTCACAAGTCGGTTGTACTGCCCCATTCGATGGGAGCTATAGCATTCGCGTGACACCAGAACCGGAACGGAACTCCCCGATTGAAAGGCAAACCACAGAATACATCTGACGTAGAAGCTCTGATCATGAGGTGGGGAGCTCGATCTCCCGACTCGGAAACAAGGGAAGGGCATGGCGGCGGAAGACGGCTTCGAGCATCTAGCGTGGAAGATTCCCGGGAATTTCACCCATGCGAGGCGAGTGTCAAATGGTTCGTATGACTTTGACGGCGCTAATGTGTTCTTCAGTCGGTGGAACAAAGCCGGGCATGTAAGACAAAGCCGACTATGGAATTTCTCACACGCCCGGGGAGAAGGTGGTGACTTTCACGCGCGGAATCGCGCCGCTGCTGCGTTGTGTGGTCGTACGACGAGTTTTGATGGATGTCAGATCTATTTCAGGGTCGAGGCGTACCGTGATGACGAGTCAAGGTCTCCTGAGGACGAATGAAGGTGAGCCGCTACCTGGACATCTTGAAACGAGAGGAATCAAAGCAAAGAGGTGCCGAAGCTGCGTATTCCCAGTGGTGCTCGACCACCGGCCTTCCCGAAGTCGGCAGCAGTGTTGTCGCGCGAGTGCGTGACGACATGACCGATGCGCGTGATCTGACAGCCGCGCGTGTCATGACAAATGTACGACGAGCACATTCACATACAGATGCTTGCTGATGTCCGATGGTAAGCCATAAGCAAACCGTGAATGCGGCCCAAGCCAAAACCTCTCGCGCCCTTGTGGGCAGTATGTCGCTTAGTCCCTCCAACGCAGAGCTTTTACGAATTCGCGTAGACAGTTCTGTGAACTAATGTCTGCCAATCGAATCACTCATTCGCATACTGAGGGAGAGAATTTGGCGTCGTTCACGCCCTGATTAACATTTATCCACTCCCGAAACAATGGATTTTGGGGAAGTCATCCAGCGAAACTCCCAAGGTTCGAGTCGCTCGTCAATGCTGTGGAATAATGAAATGAGTCGAATCCCACTCCTCGAGCGAGGCACTGGGTCGGTCGCTGGGAGCATCGGTCCCGAGAAGCTCAACTGCTCCCTCAGACGGTAACGGGGAACTGTCGATTCTCAGCGAGAGATTTGAAGCGAGCGACTTGAATTGATACAGCAGGAATACAAGATCGGAAGCGACCGCGCGCTGGGGAAACGAAGACAATCCATATTCGTGTCAATTGATTTCTTCATGCAGTCGTGAGCGAGACAATAATGAGCGATCGGGACGATGAGCGCCGGCAAGATGGAAGGAAAAAGCATCAGTGTCTCAATGCGGCCTACGAGTCCGCATCGGAACACAATACGGTTACTGCAACTGCCGAGTAGTTTTCCACGCTTCGTCATTTTATTCTCGGCGATAGATTTCTTGATTTTTCCGGCATCGATCGAATTCTCTCCGTGTAAACGACTGAACCAAATCTCCCGTGATCGACCGGTATCCAACATCAAATGTCTCCGATATCAGGAATGAGGGCATCCACAGTTGGAGGCACGATGAAAAAAAAAAAATCCGCGTGTTCGCAATAGTCCACCCCCGATTGATCGACCGATGAACCGAGCTTCAAATCGACTGGACGCCATCGAGAATGACGATTCTCTTCAGCCGAAGCGCGCAAACGAAAACTATCGACAGCGCTGAAACAATGTTGCTCCTGCGACGCGACACAGTGTCTCTCGGGCCGCGACGACCGATGGACAGACTGAGTGAACGAGTGACTGACCGACCGAAGTCGAACAAGGGCTCAAGATGAGCTTCCCCACAAGGTTGACTCTATTCTGTCGAGGATAATCAATTTGTTTTGAGTCTCCTCCGCCAGAGCTTCACGCAATAGGCTCTTTGTCTTCTGACACGAGTTACGTAATGACCGACCGAGCGACGGTCGTCGATGAATAAGATTTCCATCCTCTGTGCTGTCAGTAATTAACTCCCACTAGCGACGCCAACAAAGACGGTCGTTGAAGCAACCGTTATAGTTCTGGTGCCGTCGTGGTGACGTCGTTCGCCACAAGACGATAAGACGCGACGTCGACACAGCCCGAGCGACCGCTGTCGGGTTGAGTGAGGAAAAAATCGCACTATCCAGAACCGCCCTCTGAATCAATACCCCCGCTTTCGAAGACTCGCGTGATGGTAGTCTACAGTGACCGTCGGAAAGTGCGGCAGCCCCTGGCAATCCAACGACGGAGATGCACCGTCAAGATTGTGTCCGCAATGTTCTCCTCGAGCAGATCTTTCACTCATGTCTAGCCGAGTCTCACCAAGCTCTGTATTATTATTTTCATTTCAGCCGATATGTGTTATTCGATTTCGATGCCCATTGCATTTCGAAGCCTTGCTGTGGATTCTTAGGGGGAGGCGAAAAATGATGTCGATGTCTTCCCTGGCGTTCCAGGCTGAAAACGGCGCGCCATGGTCTTGACTCCGGGGATGAGACATTGCCATTGAAGCTGTGGAAACTAACATGATCCGGAAATCGGGGGGACGGCATGAAAGAAGAATCTCGGAGCGAGAAAATCCCGCTTGGGCAATTTTTTGAAGAATTCCCCGCGCCACCCACCGTGGCAATGGATAAGCTTCAAGACTGTGTGGACTACGCGTCTCTAGCCGATATGGTGGGGCAGTGTCAACGATGGGACGCGCGCGATTTATCTGATCGCTCACAGTATTTCGACAAATCGTGGCAGCGGTCGGCACCCACTAAAAGTCAGAAGCGATTTTTCTCTTTCGTCTCAGCGAAGGCTTCAGTGCGGTGGTCCCTTTAAGCGGACATTTTTCTCGGGCAAAAAACAAGAACGGATTCATCAGACGCGGCTCGAAACAATGAAAGCCGCCATTGCCTGAAGATAGTTACGTTTCCATCATCGTCGATCTGATTTTTATTATTATCATGATTATTATCATCTCGATAGTGGGCAGACTAACAATGCGGACGCGCGACCGGAGGAAACTTGATCGACACCGAGCCAAATTTGTAATAAAGCAATTTTTGTTCAAATGGCGGAGATAACTTGTTCGACATTCGTTCTCGCGGAATGTCTGATCGAGGCTATATTATTCAAGTACCAGTCGATCGTTTCGACATAACGACACTCGCGACCTGATAGACTCCGATTTGGCTGATGCATAATCGTTAAAATTCCAGAGTTTCGAGAAAGAATTTAGCTGCTCCGTCTCGTCCCGTCGGGAGTGAAAATCGTTCTGAGGCTTCGATCTCACGACGCCGTGTGGTCTCCAGAGAGGAAATAGCAAACGATCTGGACCTTCGTTTTTTCTCGCTAGCTATTTTGTACACAGAAGAAATGAGAACGGACAGCTTAGACTAATCGCTTGCAGTGCTTAATCCCGCAGTGGAAAAAATCGTTCCGAGCGCAAATCACCGACCGAGTTCAGTCCTCGATTAGTCCCGATGGAGGAATCAAGGCAGCAGCTCTTACTCTCCAGCTCGTGTAGTTTTCAAGCCTGGAAGCTGAGATTTTTAGCCGGAATCCCCTAATGACGATGCGAACGACCGCTTAGACAGCTTCACAAAAAATGACCGAATCGACGTCGGTCGTCTGCGATTTCGGGGTGGAAAGGGCGGCCTGGCTCATGTACCGAGGCTTTCGGGCTCCAGCAATTCGGATACGTATCCAAGAGGTGGAGAGATGCATTGCTGGTCCTAATCATGAGGGTGGGGCAACATCTCTCGAAACGAAATTGAGTCGCTGGGGATCTGTATACCAGTCAAGGCACCCCGATCTCGTCCCGTGGACCCGACTAGAGCCGTGTGAGAAGAAGAAATGTCCCGCGAAGAGCCCTGGGGTTCGATACTTTGCTCTCGATCATACAGCCTCGCCGAGAGGCATAGGAATCCCGAGAACTTCATGAGATCGAAGTTGTGAAATAGCGTGTAATTTAAATATCGCGCCAGCGCTACGTAGCAGAACGAATCCCAGAATAAACATAAGTCAGTGTCGGTCAAAAAGTGAACCGCGCATGTTCTCCTTACGAAAGTGAAATTCCTACACGAATCCAAGAGACTCAGATTCGATAAGTCCGCTACCGATCCGACCGAAACAGTTTACAGAAGTCTACCGGTGCGATCTCGAGACCTCACAGTCCGTCGAAATATGCGAGCTCCGCGCTGTGTCTCGGAAATCTCCCATGATGACTCATGAAGTGACAACGGACCATATCAAGCTTTATGGGCAAGCTATAATCCAGCGAAAACTCGCAGCTGAAGTTCAACGCAGAATGAACGTTACAATGAAGCGAAAACATGCCTCGAGCCGCATCGAAGCCCCGACGTTCATCCTTCCTGGAGCTTATATCGTTTTTTTGAGGCTTCGGAAATCATTCGTCGTCGATGCAAGATTCTCAGTATTGCAAATCCGATAGGAGCACTCAACTCCGAGAAAAGTTCCCTGGCGTACATGGCCAAGACACCCGCATGAAGAAACCTGTCCCGTTCGACGGAGGTTCATAAGAGCTTCTTGAGACCATTCGACTGAACCCCGGATAGGATTTTTTGAAAACATACACCAGGCTGAATGTCGGGCTCGAACTCTCAACTTCGGAACGAATTCGTTTCTGACGTGCGATCGAAAGCCCGGGTTGCGCCGGGAACTCCGCGACCCCCCGCCTCGGGCTTTATCCGAAGAGCGACGTATTTTTTCCGCTGCGGCTCTTCTGATTAAGTGCTGCTGTATACGGGAAAATCTCTGCTCAATGTCTCGGATCGTCTTTCAGTGGTGGGGATTAGCACCCACAGCCTACCCCTGATCACTAGGAAACGTCACAGTATTCAAAACCTCTGCACTAGCGACATCGCGATTTCAAATACCTTGCTGTTTCTGCACTTGTATTGCAGCGACTCTTGAGAGACCCGTTCACACCTCCTTCGAGGTGTACGATTGGAGTCACCGTGTTGTTGAGTATCCGTTGGTTGTAGAGCTGTCGAAGATAAACTGTATCCGACCGAAAGTGTACGCGGCACTGTTTAGTCCGAGCCACTGTTCAGGATGCTCAGTTTCACAAGCAGGCAACCGATGCTATACGTTACCAAGTTGGCAAGCGAATACGGTATAGAACGCTCAATGGGTTTGTTCTCACGAATGTGTACGACTGGCACGTCCTACTCGGGGGCGACTGACGGCTGTCTGTCGGGTCAGTTGGCGCGTCTTCTGCCCCGCGGTAAGGGGACGTCCTTGAAGCCCTTGCCTTTGTTTGCGAAGGAATCCAAAACAGTGCCACTCGCCGCCGCCGTCGTCGTCGTCACCGTATCCGTCGTGGCGATGGATTGTAGGAGACACAATGCGCCTTCAGCGCCCCCTAACCATTCCCACGGTCCATTCGATCCAGAAATGTTTTGGGCAAGAAAAAAAAAGTTTGACAATGCATCGATGAAGGGGTTAAATTTGCGTCCGACGCAGGAGGATCGTCGATCACTGCTACGACGTGCCGCTCGACGTTTCGGTTCCCGGTCCGCAACGGTTCCGCTCCGACAGCTGAGTCGCTGGATACCTAATTGAAAATCGCGTTAGAACAACGAACGCTTACGTATCGATTCCTTAGAGGGATCGATCGAGGTTGGCTTTCGATCAAATAAAACTATTATCAAACGGCATTCTTGCGCAAGCCCGATCAGAAGTCAAGCTCCGAATCGATTCTGGAACCGACGAGCCAGGAGTCGTTTCCACAGAAGCGGCTTCCGGATTTGTGCGGCATCCGAACCGGTCAACGTAATTATCACGTTGTTGTGCTCATTGTTCGGTCGTCCGACGTCGAGAAAGCGTATCGTGGGCAGCGCTACCAGTTAACCCTGAACTCGGGCCGGATACCAATAAATTTCAATGAGGCGATGGCGAAGCGGGCAAAAGATGTGAAGAGGAAGAAAAAGCAGAAGGATCCTCCGTGGGAGGATTACTAACGGTGAATATTGTAACAGGTGATATATTGAACGTCTATAGGGGATCGGTCGTCTTCATAAATTTCGTCCGTGGATTCTCTCGGTGCGATTCATGCGGCCTGCCAACGGACGAGCCTTTCCATGCCAAAACTCTGGAGCAGTCAGTCCTTTCTTCGCAGTTCGTTCTCGGACCCGTCGACGTGGGAGAGAGGTCAAGGATCCGTTCGAGCCGAAACGGAAAGTCCTGCCTATTTCGGTTCCTCCAAATCTTTATCTCAACTCCAACGTTTTTTCTCCCTCATGTTTGGCTGAAGCTCTATGACGCCGGGATTTTTCGCGCTCGCTTGGAACCGCGCAAAGATTCTCTGACGGAAATTCATGTCTTGTCGAACAGGGACTTGATAGGCGCCAGTACTCGCTCAACTGAAGTTGTCATGTGCAGATTTCGCATGTGAGGGTAATAAGTTATTGTTAGAATCGAACTGCCAGGGGCATTGCCCACACTCTCGGCAGCTCAGCGGGATACCGCCGACAAACTCGGTCGATGATTCCGTTCCGATTGTGCTCCAGATGGAATCCGTGCTTGGGAATGCTTCCAGTCCCTCAGGGAGCGAGCGCCGACCCAGAGTTGTCTGACGAGAGCGAAGCCGCTTCGAGTGTCCCTGCCGAAATGGTATTGCATCGCGGGGGCAACATTGCATCGAGCCTTCTGGAGCAAGAGTCTTTCTCCATAGAATTATTCCGCACGTGATCAGGCCGCTAAGTGAGACTCGTCTATGTCGTTTCTGTTTTTATTACGCACCTCAAGTCCGAAACAAAAGAAAAGTTCCCCTGTCGGCGGAGTTGCCAAAAATTAGTACGCGACTACTAATTGCAAGACGTTAGGATGAGCTTCAATTGTGTCTGACATTGGTTTCAATGTGGAGTGACACTTTCGGGAGTTCTCGAGCCTCTTCTTATGTTCGAGCAAAGTCATCATCAGGTTCAATGATTCAAGTTCCTGAGACAGAAAGTGAAACGAGAGGAATCAGGGAAAGTCGAGTAATTTTTCAGCTCCGAGCCGATCCGACGTTCGAACTTGGCTCCGTAATGGGCCACACCATGGGAAAACATTCCGATCTGAGCAGAATCTCAGATTAGGGGATGCGCTCTGGTCCGTTGGGCATTTTTCTGATGTTCTACGGTATCGCTCGTCGGTATCACAAGTCCTGCGACGCCTCTCGAAAAGGAAGAACGTCTCATTTTCGCATTCCAGGCATTCTATTATGACCACAGACATTCACGTGCAAGCAAGCTTCCCCTTGAAAGCGAAGACAGCGCGTCTAACAGAAGTTGCCGCATCGCAAGGCATATACTCGCTCCTCGGGAGGCGTTACATAACACGAGACTTGGACGTACGAAATTAATGAAGAACGAGCGATGTTTCGTTTGCCAAGACTGCTCGGAATCGACCTGCGGGGGCTAACTTTGCACCCGAGGATGGAAATCCGAATAAGCTTCGGTAACTCTCGGCGACGGGGAGTATCAGCACGAAATTGAGAAATTTCGTCGGACGTGAGATCGTGTTGTTCGGGATAATATTCGTACCGCGGTCGGGATGGGGAACGCGAGCACGCGCTAGGTGGAGAAGTGATCCCCTTCCCGCTTGACCTCTATCGATGCAAATAATGGAGATCGAATAAACCACGGGATCCCGCTAGAAGGAAACCGTTCTCTCTCGATTGGACGAGTAGTAATCAATTCCAAGACCACAGCCGAGCAGCATTAGAAAACCTTGACTTTGGAGAGTCGTTAAAGCGTGTAATGAAGATGCCTCTCCCAACGTGGACGTCTGCCCACATGGAATCATTTGAATGGGAGAGTCACGTTCCGCGGCATGCGAGAATCAGAGGGAAAGCGACGGAAATTCGAAGACAATGCCACTATCTTAAACGACAATACCGCGGTTGTTGCCAAAAATTCAATATCAATACTGGTTCCGTCGCTCTTCATGACCTGTGACCCCGGCATTTGTTCCCCAAGATCACATTGCGACGATTGGCATTTGACGAGCGCAGTCGTCAATTTCTCCGTTTTAATTCACGCCATTACCCGATAGATGGACGGATGGATGGGCTCGTCGAGCTCGCGGAAGCCGTAAGGCTGCACGTTGGATGGCGATTTGCGGCCGCTCGCTCATCATCGGTCCGACCGACCGCCAACTCCACTGCCAAACCAATCAAACGTCATCATTCGCCATTTTCTGCTCCACTATCGCTCAGTCAGTCTGCTTCAGCTGTTTTCTGTCACAAGTCCGACGGCTGCTTCCGACGCATCTCCGCGGGGAGACGATTCGCCGCATGGTTCCGGAACACGCCGCGTTCGCCAAATCTTCCTACTTGCACAACTGCTGGAGTCGTCCTCGTCCGGGGTGGCGCAAGCGGATCGAGACTCCGTGTCTGAGATTCCCCGCTGAACATCGACGAAATGAAGGACGAAGAGTCGATTGCCTGGTTGCAGCTTTTCCGCAACCCTCAAAGAGACTCTTCAATCTGAGTGGCCTTGCGAGGCATTTACAGCCCTAATCGCGATATGCAGGAAGCCGCACCCCCCTCCAACTGAGAAGCCAATGGCCGGGAATGTACGGAGCTCCCGAGCGGATGGCGATGAAGAGATGATTCAAAAACTCTGAATCATGAAGTGACGACCGTCGATGAAAAAGTGCCCGGTCGGATGACTGAAGCCATCTGATGTTGCCAACAAGACGATGCCAAGTGTTCGGCGAGAAGCGGGGGCCGACTTTGCGAGGACTTTCCGCGGACCATCCGGTCGCCATCATAATCGCTCCAAGTATCATTATCTGATTAGGTATACTCTACTGTGACGTGCTCCAAACTCTGGCCCATCGCAACGGAAGCTGCGTTGTGGAAGCGTATATGTCATCAGAACATAATCCTCTTGGAAGTTCCATTGTCACCGATCTAGCAATCTCAGAAAGCTTTCAGAAGACCCAAATTCCAGACGATTGGAATCCGAACTCCACCTGCCTCCCACAGAAGACTCCAGCTCGATAGCGCACCCCAACGAGATCCATCGCCTAGTATGCAGAGACCTGCAGGGATGTCTCCTATTACAGGATCTGTTCTGATGAGGATGGAAAGGAAACTGGAGTCCCATCTCTCGAACCTGTTGTGTACCCGGGAGTTCAATCGGACCTCTCTGACGGCCCACCATCCTCGCGATGAGGTGATCGTGGTCTCGGGGCGCTGCGCGGGCACGCTTGTGCTTTTTGATCGTAGGGGTAGGTTCACGCTGCGAATTCTCGATCGTTCCAATTGACCAACTCCTGAGGGAAATGAAAATACTGTCTCGGATTCTCTCATTCATGGTTCATGGCAATGACATTTTTTCAATATTAGCATTCTATCCGATCCGACACGACGTACACGCTGCGAGAATGATACTGACGCGAGACATTAGCTCTCACACATAATATGTACATTTCGGTGTCTAGACTTCATGGAGCTCTATATGTCCCGACACACCACGGTGACCCTACCCAAGTGCGGGTGCGCGAACGTTGAGAACGACCCGAGGGAATGCGTGGCGTTCGGGAATTTCGATACAGGAGCGAGATCTTTTCAGCGATTCTTAAATTTGACCAGCTACGCCATGACCCATTGGAATGCATTTCCATTCGATCCATTGCGCCTCCATTACACAATAGCCATGCCTTTCAGTAATGGACAAAGGCGGTGATTGCAGACACAAACTTGTTTGGAAGCTCACTCCGGTGATTTATGGAGAAAACAACAGAAATGAATGGCGATGTGTGAATGAATGCCGCGGAGTGTCGATGACTACAATCCGATTGACAAGTCAGCGGCGACGTTGTATGAATAGATAAGAGCCCAATGCCGTCGAAATCCGTCTTAAAATTCTGTCGGCGTACCCCCGAACGTTTAGCGATGACGAGAAGGAGATTGCGACCGGCACGTTCTTCCATGGATTTGTCGATACAGCGGTAAGGAAGGCTACTCGCTCCCCGATCCTGATAGCTTTTTATCACGAACTCGTCCTCAAGCCACATGTCTCCGTCTAATAACATAGAACAAACATGTTCGTTTAGTCAGGTATCAAGTGAATTACAGCGTGTAGCATTCGATTGACGACAGATCCGTAACGCGAGTCGAGCAGAAAAAATCCGCATCCAACGACGAATAGTTTACATCACGGTCTTCTGCCACACTCCGCCTCCCTCGTCGATTGTAAAACCAATAAAATTATCAGATTCCGATATTCCGCAACCGTTACAATGACTTCTAGCCCGACTGCTTTCTCGATTGCGCGTATGTGTGGTCGAACGATGAACTTTGGATCGGGACAGCTTTCTAGTAAGACGCGATTCCACCCGTAAAATACCCTGCGCGGAGCCGTAAGTGTTCCGAAATTGCAGAGCATCGGCTACCGGCACGGGCGTTCCGAGGAACATCTCTTTCGCTTGTCGAAAAGCACGTTTATTCAACATCTCGAGTTGAGGAAGTTGTAAGTTGTAACCAGGTAGATACTGCTAACACTTTTGTCTCACTACATTGAATCACAGGATTCCTCTAGAGCCGCCAGGAGGAACAAGGGACCTATGGGGACTGGCGATACACCTGCTCGGGACAGCAGTCTGTATTTGGAAGCCCAGGAGTGTTCTCGAATGCGGAAATGCCTTGCGCTCTCGATATTCCATTCCCCCCCGAAACGCCGCTTGTCGTACCCCCCCCCCCCCGCACCCCCAGAATCCCGCTCGGTTTCCGGAAAATTCCATTTCTGAAGGTCCCTCACGTTTGGGTACCCCTGAACCCGAGTCCGATAGCTCTGCGAGGCAGCTAGAGCTTTCGCAGACTCGATCCAAAGTTTCATTGCGCTACACATCAACAGTCCTTCCCGACATTAACAGGGGCCCAGAGCGGAACGGAATGGAGCGGGATTCGCTTTGATACAATTTTTATACTGGGCAGAAGGCCCGCCCATCGTGTCCTCCCAAAACACCTTGTGTGTCTATTGGGTGGTCCATAGCCACAAGACTTGTGGCTCAAATCCATCGCCATACACTGTATTTCTCACAGGCATCAGATCATCGATCTTATTCGAGAAACGGTCGGAAGTTCGTTTGGAAGTCTACAGTTCGATACTGAGAGACTTCTTCACAAGGAACCCCGCTCAACCGGCGAAATTCGTTCTCTATAACGGTTATCCGCTGTGAGGAGAGCATCTCCCCGTTAGCTCAAGGGTGTTCGTGCGAAAGGAAAATTAATCACTCGGCGTTCATGCTGAAATCTCACTGTAACGATGTTCGTTTTCACGGAACACTGTATTCCTGAATCGGAAATTGAGTGATCGACGACGCGGCTGTCGTTCCTTGAAGCCTGGGAAGACAAACGGAATGTGGGACACTACCTCCACAGCACTCCCGACATAGGTCGGCTGCGCTCTTGTTCGACACGTCTGAGCTTCCGTTGGGCTCCATGAAGGATTTCGGGGCTTGAGTTCACAGCGCCTAAAGGTTCCTACCGAAACGTTTCGGCTGCGAAAAGAGCAGTGGCAATACCGGAGACGGCTTGGAACAATTCTCATCAAGCTAGCCCAGATGAGAAATGTTCAAATGAATTCTCGAGTTTGACATACAGTGTACGGTGAAAACTGCTTAATGAGTGCACTTGCGGTCCAAGCGAAGAGTGGACCGATTCCCCGGTGGGCCTATACGCGTTCGGATCACCGTGGGCTCCCTTGGCCCACGGTTCGGAGAAAAAATCGTCCGATAAATCAGATGGCAACTCCATGCAAGTGGACCCTTCGGCACTACTCACTGCAATTTAGGGTGCCTGCTATACTGTGAAGTCTCCTACAAGGGGAACTAGGAACGAAGCTTATTTTGGTCTTCTTCCGTTTATTTCTGAGATTGCCTCATATTCCATGTACAAAAAAAATGTCAATCATTATGGCACGTTTCATCACTCGAGAATAAAGATCTCCATTCGACGGAATAAATAGCAATGAACTGACAATCGAATCCTACGCGATAGATTCGGCCGTCGATTTCACCTGATGTTGAGCGATTAAATATTCCCTTTCACAACTCCGTCCACAGAATAATTCATCAGGCGTGAGCTCAGACAGCGAAGTTGAACATTTCTCTTGTCCATTTCAAAGCGAAATTCATTCCTTTCTGGATGACTTAAAAAATCACAGTCGTCTCCCAACTCACCGCTTGCAGCGCTCAGCTCGACAAATCATCAAAATGTCCAATGGGAGTGCGCTGATACAAACAATCAACATTTACAATCTCTCCTGCATCTCAAACTAACACGCCTTTGTCTTACATCGAATCACTGGAGGAAATTCTGTCACGCTAATAATAATGAATAGCTGGCACCGCATACGCAACGGGTCCGACCTTAGGGATGACAACCGGAGCGGCAGCGTAGTGCGAAACGGGCGCGGTTTTGAGCTGAGCGTATTGAGGGACGAACACTCTGTAGGCTGATGGGGCGCGGATGACGCGAGTCGCGTACGCAGAAGGACCAAATCGTCTTCTGGCAGCGAGGCGGCCAGTATTGGCAGAGGATCCTCCAGAGCTCAGAAGGGCCGCTTGAGGAGCTCTTTGATCGACGGCTTCGGCCGCCGCGGGCACTTCTGTAGTCGTCGACGCGATGGACTCGGTCGTTGTGGACGTTGACGTCGCGGTTTGAGTCGTGGTGGGCGCTTCTTCTCTGGCGGCCAAAACCGGCGGTGAATTTCTGAAATCGGCGACATCTTCGTCATCGTCCTGCTTCGGAAGCGTCGTGCTCGCCTCAATGGCAGGCGCCTGAGGGGTGGCGAGCTCTTCGGGGGCCCGGGGTGCATCCGTGGCCGGAGTCTCGGGCATCGAACTCGGAGTCTGCGGAGCCTGGGCTCCAGGGGTCGATGGTCGCTCGGTGGTCGTTCCGGGCTGTGCTGGTGCGTTCTGCGATCGGATGGGATCCCGAGAAGACGCCGTGAAGTCGACGCGGGTATGGACGGATGACGAATAATGCGCAAGCGGAGCGTAGACTGCGTACTGGGAATGTACGATCGGCGCAGGAGCTGTGGCATAGACCAGTCTGTGAGCGGCCACAGGAGCGTAGACCGGAGCTCGGAGCCGCTGTGAAGCGAAAGCGATCTGCTGCTGATCAAAAGGAACTCCGCGTGACGAGAAAAACGCGGCAGGTGGGTCGGCGGTGGTGGCTGCTGCGGGAGCAGCTGCTGGCGCTCTGGTGGAGTCTGTTCCGTTTGCGGGAGAGTCTGCCACCGGTCCGGCGTATGTTCCGGCGGGGAAGGCGGCGTTTACAGCACTGGTCGAGGGAGCGGACGAACGAACAGATGCAGATGGAGCAGTTGGCCTCGCTGCAGGAGTAGTGGGTACTACGTCAGAGACAACTGGAGCAGGTGTGGTTCGCTGTTGGCTCATGGCGATATTGGACTCCGGGAACGAGTAGGTGAACGGGAATGGAGCATTGAACGCTGTACCGGCAACCGCCGGTCTCGCTGCAGGTGCCTCGCTAGCGGCAGGTGTGCTCCTAGCAGTCGAAACGAAAGCGGGGACCGGAGTGACGGGTGCATCTGAAACTGGAGCGATTCTGGCTGAGTCGAAGCGGGTATTGAACAGGAAAGGTGCGACGGCAGGGGCAGACGGCGAGGAGAATTGAGGAGCAGTGAAATTAACTCCCCGGAAGAAGAAGTTCGGAGGTGTCGCGTAGGCCGATGGTGTTCGGGCGGCTACCATTCCCATCGAATTGTTTTCGTCGGTCGAGGCCGGAGCCGATCGAGCGTTGGCATCAATCGACATCGGCGGAGGAACCCCGCGATCGGAGACGCCCGACTGGGGGGCTGAACTCGGAGGATATTGTGACGGAGCGACGTTGTTCTCCGAGGGTGGAGCCGCATCCTGACTGAATAAACGAGCGTTGTTTCCGGCCGGAGCAGCAGCTGCTGGCGCAACTGACTCCATCAGAGTGATTTCGGGTCGAGCGGGGGCGGCAGCGAGTTGGTCGGCGGTACCGTTCGAGTTGGCTGGAGGTGCGGAGTATAGGCCACCGGCAACGGTTCCGGCATCGCGGGAAGGAACTCCACCTACAGGAATAGCGTATGCCGCGACCGGGGCGGCGTACGACGCCAACAACGGAGCGGCGTAAGTTCCGATCGGCACATTCGTGACGGGGGCGGCGTACCTTGGGGCGGGAACGGCGTACCTTGTGGCGGGGGCGGCATAACTTATGGTAGGAGCGGCGAGAGACGCGATAGGAGCTGCCACTCGATTGAGCGGAGCCGCGTAGGATGTGATGGGAGCGTAGGTCTGTACGGCGGGAGCAGCGATACGGGTGGCGTAACCCGGAGCTAGAGCGGCGATCTTGGCTACAGGAGCAGCGTAAGCGGTCGCAGGAGCTGCATACGAAGCGATAGGAGCCGCTGCCGTTGTCCTGATGGCGGCAGGAGCAGCGTAGGCAATCCTGGGTGCAACAGGTACTCGTGCTCCGTAGGTGATAGGAGCTGCAAGTCTCGCGGGAGCTGAATAAACAGGAGCACTGAAGGCGGCAGCGGGAGCTACTGCAGGCGCGGCGAGACTCGCGACACGGACCCCGTAAATAGGACTCGCAACGCTAGCAAGACGAGAGACCGGGGCGACGTTATACGACGCAGCGCCCGTCAGAGAGGGAGCGGTCCCGGGCTCGTTCGTGGACACCTGAGCGCGGAATCCCGCCGCATCGGCAACATAATTCACAATACGATAGCGTCCGTCGATGTCTCGGAGTCCGTACGAGCCGACTTTGGCCCCGACAGCGTTTCCCGCCTCGCGCCGGAAAGAGCCACCGGTCGAGTGAACCTCATCGTAACCGAATTGATAGTTCCCCAGGCCATCGTCGGCTCGATGTGTTCTCGAAGTGCCCGTAGAGCGGAGCAGACCAGCGCTGGCGGTCGACACGAGCACGGCGCTAAAACAGAGCAATTTCCTCCACATACTGAACCGATTGTTTGGTTCTGCTTTGAGCGACGACACGAAACACTGAACACTGCATACAGTGCAGGGGGCATTTATATACTGGTCCTCACCCAAAAATTGGCTTGAAATTTACTTTTGAACCGATCTACCGACGGACCACCACTCCGCCTCTAATGGCTACCGACAGTATGGGAAGGCGGTGGAGAAAGATCGGGTGTGGATACGTTGGCCTTAACGGTATGCGGCCGGATATACCAAGGACCTCTGAAGACGTCAGCGGCCGCGGCAGCGGCACATGCGGCAGTCATGACGACGACAACAACAACGGCGGCGGCGGCGGCGGCAAATAGAGCGAAAGCCCCTTGACACCTCCTCCCCCAACAAACAGACCACATGCTCGAGAAATATCGAGAAAATCTTGGGCGCCATCCAGAAATAACGGTAAGCGACGGCTCGTCGCGTTACCACGCCTTTTGTTCATGAGACGTCTGAGCCCGGCGCTGCGCCGCGGCGGCTACTGGAGCTGTCTCGCAGAATCAGCAGCGCGGCAGAAGACGCGGAATAGGGGCTTTGATTGTCGCGATGCTTCCTAATCATCTTCGGGGGATCACTCTCTTACTTGCACTAGAGATTGAGACGATCGACGAACATTGTACCGATGGTTCACGTTCCGTGGCTGTCAGAAGGATCCTCGATGAGGGTTTTCCTCTCTTCGCTCTGCGCCGATGGAGCAATGCCGTAGCCTGTGGCAAGCTTGTGCGACAACCAGCGACCTAAGCTGTAGCTAGGTCCGTATTATATCGTAGAAGTTGCAGTAACGCGGAACGTAGGTATCAACAAGGAGATTAAGTGGCACGATGATGAACGGTGCTGAACAGCGGGGGCAGCGGCTACCAATATGGAGTCACTGCGTGATAGAAATCCATCAATAATATTTTCGGTGCATTCGACCAGCCCTCATTCTTGTATTCTTCTATCCCCAATAGAAGGAGATTGCGAAGCGGGACGGGGATCCTGTACGTGGAGGACCCAGTCGACAGACATTCTTCTTCTTCCGTTTCGACATGCCTCGCATCCAATGCTTCGATCTCCGAGACTCGGCTTGTCGCATCTGCTTGGATGCTTGGAATCGCAGCCCTGTCGATATCCCTTCCGAAGAATTATCACGCTGAAATCTCATCCGTATGCATATGTATAAGTATGCTCGATTCGTGAGAAGTCGACGTTTAAAAACGAAATCGAATCAGTATTTGCCCGCGCATTTCCTCTATCATGGGATCCGGTCTTCTGTACGAATAGCTCTCGTTATTCCACTATCGGAGCGCTCCAGCCCCATGACGAGGAGGTCATAGCGTTGTCGATCGGCGGAATGGTCTTCACCTCGTCCATTGATTGAATACTACATTCACTTCTGAATACTACATATGGTCCTCATAGGCAAATCTCGTTTTTCATCCGATTATTTATCACATCGCAGTGTTTCCAGTCATAGCTGTCTCGTAGAATCAATGCCCGCACCCGTCGGAGTTATTTCGTGGAACTTCTAGCACTGCGCACAGTCGATGTTCATTTTTTCTTCCATTTTATAGATTATGAACATGAAAGGCGTATGAAGCTGATATGGGAGTTATACGAGAAAAAACCGGAGAAATTTCACCGAGCTATTCTTGAGAAAGCAGGACTCATTTGTCAGAATCGAACTAGGACTCTTCGGAATGAGAGCCTGAGAGCCATTCTATTGGTGCCGAAATTCTGCGTCGGTTGCTATGATCGATATAATCGGCTTTATGCGGCGACATTTTTCTGCCCAGCTAATGCAGCCCCGAACGTCGATGCTGGCTGTCGATGGTCCAACGTCCAACTGCTTCTTGAACTCCTCCGAGTAAGAGAAAGACTGCATTCATCCGGATGATCGGACGCCGAATCTCGCCGACTTCGGAAACAAGGGAATTCCATGGATGCCCGGACAGGAACGGAGCCTTCAACTCGGAGCCCTTTCTCGTTAGCGGCTCGAGAAAACGAAATTAACTCGAATAGGAAGGGCAACGCTGACATGCTCTCGCTTGTTGCATGGTCGACTAAACGAGCCCTCAAAAATCCGATACGCTAACGCCTGGATACCCGAAATCCAATTGAGCTGAGCCGTCGCTCAGTTCAGGAGCCTCAAACTTCAGTCTGCTCTCTGACTGCGTCGATAAAAGCGCATTATCATGTCCCGAGTCCGACGAGTCAACGGATTTTCTAATCGGAAACAGCCGTAGCTTTTCGCGCTCCTACAAGGGGACAGACCATCAGAAGTGATCTGAGTAAAACTTTATCTAGACTCAGGGGAAACAAAGAAGTCTTTTCTGCTTATTCGTCGGTCGGCCTAATCAAGACAACGAGAGCCGATCTCTCAATCGGGACAATGGTTCCGATCACATGCGGGAACTTGGCGGAAAATCATTCTTTCGATGGCCTGTAATAGGATAAACGAATGATTGAGTGGACATCGTACGGTACGAGCATGCCTGCGTTTTATTGTCGAACATCAAGGTTAGTGTTAGGGGAGGCACCGGAAGACTTTAGGCGAAGTTCGAGCAGAACGGCCTCAAAACAGGGAATTTTCAGCTGAAAACTCTCGTTCCAATTGACGATCTATTGTACCCGAACGAGGGGACGACCAAGCGGCGATAGCGAGTGTTTTCTTGAGCGCAAGTCAACTGCCGGTCTTGCATACCTCGATTTCCGCTCCGCCGGAATTACTCAGGAAGACCGCGTGAATCGTTCGATTTCTGCGATGGATTCAACGGCGGCTGCAGCCCTTCACTGTCTACGAATTCGAGGAATTCGTCTAAGGAACAGTCGGGTCGGCGCAACCGTGAAACGTGAGGTGCGATAGCAGTTTAAGCTAGGAGACTTTCTATCTTCGTCTGTGCTTGGGATCATACCCGCAAGATCTCACATCGTTATCCCATTAGTTTCAATTACGCGTTCAGCGATTCCCGCGCTACCGAAACCATGACCCGTCACGGACTTCCAGTGCTTGAGCTTGCGTCCATCGTCTCGTTCCTTGTATCTTCATCGGTCAAATCCTGGCCGGACCGTTCACGGACAGAAACCTGGAATTTCTGTCCAGGCCTGCGCACGGGGACTCGCGCAAATAGACAGACGTTTCCCTTGGTGACTCACAATTCAGTGGATTCCCCACCGATTTCCGGATACGGTCGCCGCCGCTCGAATATGCGCTCGGCTTAATTCGGAGTGTCAATTCGGTGCAACAGTTTCGCTAACGAAGGGCGAGATCCTTCCGGCATGTCGTAAGTGAATGATGGGAACCGAAGCAACATCGTGTGAGGCATAACGTTAATAACTTTCGCTCACTCGGTGGATTTTTTCATCGCCAGCGTTCAAGCTGCTGTCAGACACAGACACCGACCACTGGTGTGAGGCTGCGGAGTCCCTTCGGGGCAGAGCGAGCGCTGAACATTCGGCTCTGTCGGAGTCACGCTTCCCTTACGACTTGTAAGCTTTTCACATCGTTGAGACCCACGTACGCCTGACGTTGAGAACCACCGTTAAGCTTGTTCATGCGGTCGCACGTCTGTTCATAATGGATTTTGTGAAAACAACAAGTGTCTTGAGCAACTCCACAAGGGGTGGAGCTCCGGCCAGTTAGAGGCAGTCGACCGGAGGGTAACTGCAAAATTGGATGAGAATTCCGTTCCATCAAATCTATCATAGGATGGTCTCTTAGGAGGCAATGTCTCTCTGAGAGGATCAGCTCCGACTGCCCGAATCACAGTCGAGATACGTGTGCTCCCGGGAGGTTCTCTTCTCGATAATAATTTGTGGAGTCTCAGGCCGAAGAACCTCTTCCCCTACCCGTCGTCGAACGAGCATTAAAAAAGAGCTGTCCATGAGCGGGAAATATTTCGCAGTCGAGGACCTAGCCTCGGAGATACCGCGTGTAGACCCGGTATTCCACCGACAACTCCAACGGGATCCCAGAAAAAACCGAACGGTACTCCCGTCGACTTGATGAATCACCTCCTTGTACAGAGACAAATCCTACCGTCAAGCGTATCTGTTGATTTAAATGTCAGAGAGCTTCGCCCGGCTCTTTGTTCTTGGGCGGCACCCCGAACCACAATAAATGAAGTCGAAAGAACTCACAGCACTATATCACTCGCACGTCCGTTTCGATCGCTGAATGGCAGCTCGCATGACAAAGCGTCTCCAAGTCAAGTTCAATTTCTCAAAGGGCACGAAACAGAAGAGGAAAATATTCTAAAGAAGGGGATAATATTCGACAACTGATCAAGTTGATGAACGGTGGCCGATATTGGCGCTTTCGTTGGCTAGCCAGAAAATGAGAAGAAGATCGATGAGGAAGGACGGAGGCTAATTCCAATTTTGTTGACACACACAAGAGTGCTCTTCTGTGCGTAGGCGCGCAGCTGCAACCGAAACCGAGGCCCGAGAAAAACTTCTCAAGAGTGAAATTTCGATCCTTTCGGAAATGAATAGATCGATCGAAATTTCTGAACCCATTGTTTCCCCATTCGCCGATTTGTGCGCCAGAAGCTTCGATAGTAAAATCCTGTATTATGCTCAAGGGAGAAAAACGAACCATTTCATTGTGATGCTGGCGAAGATCATCCCGTGCGGTAGCCTCCGAGCTTTTTCTTTTCGCTCACAGTGGCCTGGTAAGACTTCCAAAGTTCAATAACTATTCTTCCCCAGGACGACGCGCATTCTATTTAAATAACTAGTTCAATAGAGCTCTATCTCAGTTGGAGGAAGGGACGTCGACGTCGTGAACTTGAACCTTCTCGGGCAATAGACCGAGGCCCCGGTCGCCGTGAAATGCCGCGGGAGAATACGCCAACATTTGTTCGTAATGATGACGTCCCTACTTTCGGCGCGCACGCGCTCCCTTGAGAGTTCCATGTTCTGTGCGTCCCGCGGTATCTGATCGTTGTTCGTCGCTCCAAGCACAGTCAATCACCAATGGGAATAGCAAAGTCAGAGCGGAT